GAGGCGCCTCAAAAAGAAGCATTGGCATGGGCGAGTGTGAGGTGGGTGGCAGCGCAAGTTTTGGAGATGGTTTTTGAGGCGCCTCAAAAAGAAGCATTGGCACAGGCGGCTGTGAGGTGGGTGGCAGCGCAAGTTTTGGAGATGGTTTTTGAGGCGCCTCAAAAAGAAGCATTGGCACAGGCGGCTGTGAGGTGGGTGGCAGCGCAAGTTTTGGAGATGGTTTTTGAGGCGCCTCAAAAAGAAGCATTGGCAAAGGCGGCTGTGAGGTGGGTGGCAGCGCAAGTTTTGGAGACGGTGCACACACAAAGTGGTAAGAAGGTGAGACAGTTGGACGGGTGGAGCGATGGTGGGATGGTGGGAATACGGACATGTGACTGGGCCAAATCTGAAAAGGAATGCCCGCTAACTGACCCTTGCGTTATTCCGAGTCAAGGGTCTACTGGTCGTGCAGGCAACATTCCGTCTGACAGTCCAGTCACTCATTCCCGTTGCCTTTTTTGTTTCCATATTTCGTTTCCTTTCCATGTTTTCCTTTATACCTGACACTCGTGAACGCCCACTCACTTGCTCACCTGTGTGCCCACTTTGGTTCGCCCGACAGATTTTTCACCTGACGGATCACCTGATCACGTCACCCACCTCCCTGGGGCCTCCCTCACCTGGCAACATAGTACACCGCGTTTTCGAGCATGAGCATCTTATTGCAGCAGCCTATAGCGAGCGCGCCGCCAGACCCCCCCTCCCCAATCACGACTGAGATGGTGGGCACTGTGAGGCCAAACATCTCCCTCAGGTTGTGCGCTATGGCCTCGCCCTGTGTCGGGGGGAGGAGGAGAAAGGGATTGGCACGAGGACAGGGAAGAGGAAGGGGACAGCGATTGAAGGAGCAAGGGACAGGGACAGGGAGGGGAAGGGGAACGGGGACGACATAGTGCACTGTGAGATGGTGGGCACCGTAAGCCCGAACATCTCCCTCAGGTTACTTTTGAGTCGACTCAAAAGTCACTGCGCTATGGCCTCGCCCAGTGTGGGGGGGGGATGGGCAGGAGATTAGAAACGGGAAGGGGAAGTGGAAGGGGAAGGGGGAAGGGGAACATGACGACGGGGTGACCTGCCATCTGCCATCTGCCATCTGCCATCTGCCACTTGCCAGTGTTCACTTCATCTCCCCTCATGCACCCACCCATCTGCCCATCTGCCCATCTGCCCGTCTGCCCCCCACCACCCACCTGCCCCAGCTCTTCCGCCTGAATGCCAGCATAAGCGCCCGGAGTGTCGATGAACATGACGATGGGGAAGCCGTGGTGCTCCCACCTCCCACCGCTGCCATGCCCTTTCTCATGCACCTACCCTTCCGCATCAACCCACCCTACCCTCCCTCCTCAACCCACCTGTCCCAGCTCCTCGGCCTGAATGCCGGCATAAGCGCCAGGAGTGTCGATGAACATGACGATGGGGAAGCCGTGGTGCTCCGCGTGCCGCATCAGGCGCAACGCCTTGCGGTACCTGCAAGGGCGGGGGAAGGAGGGAGGAGTGGGGGAGGGGAGGAGGCGTTCGGGGAAGTTGCGGAAGATGCTTTCGTTGGTGTTGCGGCCCTTCTGGTGCCCCATGAACATAAGCAGCAGTGGCTGATCAGATCAGATCAGATCATATCATATCATATCATATCATATCATATCATATCATATCATATCATATCATATCATATCATATCATATCATATCAGACCATACCACGATGAAATCCACCAGCAGCACTTACGCAGTCACCCACAGGCCGAGCAGCGCTCACGCGCTCACCCACTGCACTGGGTGAGCAGCACTCGGTGACTCACCCGTTGGGTGAAGGCATGCCGAAGTTGCGGTAGATGTTTTCGTTGGTGTTGCGGCCCTTCTGGTGCCCCATGAACATGAAGCTCATGCCGTCGATGCGCCCCAGCCCGCACACCAGCGCCGGGTCGTCGTAGCCCCCACGATCGCCGTGCAGCTCCACCCACTGCACGGGGAGGTGACAGAAACGCAGGGAGGGAAGAGAAAAGACAAACCATGTGTCCCCGTGACCGCAACCCAGCCCGCCCACCAGCGCCAGATCGTCGTACCCCCCGCGATCGCCGTGCAGCTCCACCCACTGCACGGGAGGGGGAAAGCGAGTTGGGGGAAAGCATGCGTTGAGCACAACCACACGCCAGCCCGCACACCAGCGCCGGGTCATCGTACCCGCCGCGATCGCCGTGCAGCTCCACCCACTGCACGGGAGGGGGAAAGCGAGTTGGGGGAAAGCATGCGTTGAGCACAACCACACGCCAGCCCGCACAACAGCGCCGGGTCATCGTACCCGCCGCGATCGCCGTGTAGCTCCACCCACTGCATTGGGGGGAGGGGAAAAATCAGGATGGGGGAAAGCAGGTTGGGGGAAAGCAGGTTGAGGTTGCAAATTATTGAAGCATGGGTCGACCACAACCACACGCCAGCCCGCACACCAGTGCCGGGTCATCGTACCCGCCGCGATCGCCATGCAGCTCCACCCAGTGCACCTAGTCGGAGGTGCGTGCCAACAAGAATAAGGAGCAGACTTGAGAATGGCAGTGCGACACCTTATCGTGACGTGGATTTAGTGCATATCGACTTGATAGTGGTTGTGCAACACCTCGTCTGTGATGTCAGTATGTGCTCGTGAGCTGATTCAGCTGTCACTTGGAGTGGCGTTCTTATGTCGCGGGTCGTGAATCTAGTGCATATCGTCTCGAGTGTGGCAGTGCGTCACCTTATCTGTGATGTTGAGGATGTGGTCAAGGAACGTTGGACGGTTGGGATGGCGCGCCACGCCCAGACGTTGCACCGGGGTGAGGCGCAGGTAGATGTCACGCTTCAGCTGCCATGGGACAAGACACAATAGCCGCAAGCACGTGCATGAGAGAGGGAAGAACAAACAAAGAACAAACAAAGAGAACAGAACAGTAAAGAACAGAAAATACGGTGAGAGGACAGACCGAGGCTAACGAGCCTGACATTTCAGGGCCTGTGCGGCTCTAACTCCAGCGATGGCAGCCGTAGCGCAGCACAAACGTGGTCGCGTTTGTCCTGTAGCAACAGCTCACGAGGTGCAGCTCTAGTGGTGCAGAGCACGTGGTGCAGCGAAAGTGGTGCAGCCCACGTGGTGCAGCCCACGTGGTGCAGCTCACCTGGTCGTATTTCTCCTGCAGCTCGTGAATCTGCTCGGTGAAGTCCATCCCCGTTTTAGTCGCCAGATCACGAACCTGCGAACGCAAGTCAGCAGACGGTGACGGCACACGACCAAGCGTAACACAATGCTTCATACTTGCAAGGCAGCGTTGCTTCCATTCGAAACAGCTGAAAGTTGAGGAGGCGTCGTGGATCCCGAGGCCTTCTGTTTTAGAAAAGTTATCGTTAGGAAGAGCATTGTGTGAAGGCCAGAATGCCAACGAGTCAAATGATACGATACGATACGATACGATGCGATGCGATGCGATGCTTGCGATGCACAAAGTTGTACGATACAGTAGGACGCAATGGGATGGGATATGGTGCGGTGCGATGCGATGCCTGACCTCTTTAATCCGCTTCTCCAGGTCCTCCAGCGGCCGCTCGAACGGCAGCATCATGGGCTTGCCTTTCTTTCCCGGGTTCTCCTTGCTCGTGGAGAAGAACGCGAGGAAACCCTTCTCCTCCGCGTGGTACTTGTCAGGCCACGGGTAGTCCGGATCCATCGGCGCTCTCTTCGTTTTCCGTACGTTGTTACATTCAACAGTAAGTCGCCGGGAAGCTCCAATGGGAAGATCATTTGAGCGGGATTTGGCTCGTGGGATATTGATCGCGGATGGTCTGGTGTGCAGTGATTGGCCTAGAGATTCTCCGGATAAGCAACGGACGCCGACAACCGTCCGGTTTAAGAGGCTCCGCGTTGGAGCGCACGCAGCCATGGCTTCCATCGTTCCTGTGCTCCGAGAATAGGCTATTGTTTTACACTGAGGACCAGGTTACTTCAACCAAGAAAATGAGAGACGTCGCAACGACTGTTCTATATTCTCTCTGCTCGGTTGTTGAACTGCACAGGAACTTATTTAGCGAGTGACCCACCCAACCAAGCTGGACTCCAAGGAATCAACAGGAAAGCGGCAAAGCGAATCTCGAGAAGAGCGAAACAAGGAAACGAGGAGAAGCAGCCGTGATTTCAGCAGACTGGAATTCAGAGGCAGTTTAGGAGGCAGGGGGGGTCAAGGATATCTAGAGGTCGAGGGAGAATAATGCAAACCAGGCGGTGAAAAGGGATGGGGGGCGATGGAATGCGAAGGAATGCTGCAAAAAGTGGAGAGCTGTTGGAGATATCGAGGTCGTGGGGAGGTCAGCGAAGGGTGCTCCGGGAGTCAATGAGGTAAACGAGTGGTGGCGAAAAGCTGAATGGAATATGCGAATTGTTGAGCGATAACGACAGCGCGGTTACAGCACATATGGAAAGATCTGGCACGGAAACGTGTGGTAAGGCACGTGTGTTGTCCCAAGTGACAAGACCCAAGTGCATCGACGCCGTTCGCTCAGCCTCCAACTTCTGTCATCATGCTGAGTCATCGGATAGCTCGTGTGACGGTGCGAAAAATCTGTCGTACCCAGCGTGTGAACCTTTTCAAATGATGGAGGATGACACGCGGCACCTCAGCGACGCGCCAATTTCAGCCGAAAGATCTGTGATGGGATTCTGTATGTGGCTTTGTCAAAAGTCTGTGATCAGTAATTAGAGTATGTAAAAGACGTACACTTTTTTCACAAACACGAATACCACAGCAGAACCAGGGCCCACTTTATCGAAGCAGCGACTAGATTTGTTATCCGCGTTTTTATCTCCGTAACACAACCTAAAAAGTGTACGATCGTTCTTTTCAGTTTTGTCTGAACAATTCTGTTGCACATCAGACCCGCTAGTGCGCCGCTCACTTCTGAAGCCTGCACGCAAGGACCTTGGTAGTAATCCACTTCTGCGCACCAATGGCGGAAGAAAACTCAGCTCCGCCACAAGGAGAAGAGAGGGGGAGCGCGCAGAAGGGGGCGAACGTGCAGGGGGAAGCGCTCCCACAGGGGGAAACGCGCGCACTGGGGGAAACCGGGGGAAAGGGGGAAGCTGGGGGAGCGGAGCTGATGGACACCACCGATGCGCCGAAGCAGGGACTGTCGCTCCTGCTGGCGTCAGCTGAGCTCATCAGCCAAGGCGCGGAAGCGGTACGCATACCCGTTATAACCAGCCTCGGTTACCAGGCATTCGTATCCACTGGCGCTCACAGTGCTTATCGATTCAATCAGCACGCATAAAACCGCGGCTGTTTGCGAGGAATGAGTTGTGGCCAGTCAATGGATTCCGTCTTTTTTGAGTCGACTCAAAGAATGAGTTGTGGCCAGTCAATGGATTCCGTCCTCTCTTCCCCCTCCGCTCCCCTGCTTTTCACCCTCCCCTCTGCCCATCTGCTCGGCCTCTTACCTCCGTCCACCACTCTTCCACCACATTATTCCACCAACCTACCGTCGCATTGCCCCATGGTCGCAGAGAGTGTTCGCAGCAACGTTCTGCGGGCGGCCAGCGATACTCAAGCAGCGATTTGAGAAGAAGTACCGCCACCCCACGCTCGACGCGCGACTCACCTCCAAGCGCCTGCACACGGTGAAAAATCCTGGGCCACGTATACTGGTGTTACTTTAGAGAAATCTCAAAAGTATCTCAAATACATTCTCTCCCACTAACATGCTGCTTTGAGAAGGACCGCCACCCCACGCTCGACGCGCGACTCACCTCCAAGCGCCTGCACACGGTGAGCACTCCTGTGCCTGGATCTCCCACACATTCTCTCCCACTAACATGCTGCTTTGAGAACAAGGACCGCCACCCCACGCTCGACGCGCGACTCACTCACCTCCAAGCGCCTGCACGGGGTGAGTGCTCCTCCCGCTTTGACCTCCCCTCCGGGTTTGAGCTTTTCCTCTGCTGCACCTCACTGATACCTGCGGTCTATTATCTTCCCTTCTATGCCTCTTTTCTATCCAGGAGGCTAGGAGCATGGTGTGCGCAGCGAGACTAGGAGTGGCGGAGCCAGACTGCCAGTGCTGTGCTGTACAGCGTGGAGGAGGGAGGGGGAGCAGGACCGATGCATGGTATGGTAGCAGCTCAGAGAAAAGTGCTGGGGTTGGTGCACTTCAACTGGGAGTGGCGGTGCCGGTGCTGTACGGAGCGGAGGAGGGGGAGCAGCACCGATAAAGATGGACTGCCAACCCTCTCTGTTGTTCCTCCTCCCCCTCCCCCACCCTGATCGCAGGAAGGGAGGAACATGGTGCGGGCAGCAAAGCTGGGAGTGGCGGTGCTGGGGCTGTACAGAGTGGAGGAGGGGGAGCAGGAATCAGGGAGAGAGAGAGGTATTGATGTAAATGCCAATTACCTACCCCCTCCCTCTCATTAATCTCAGGAGGCGAGGAACATGGTGCGGGCGGCGAAGCTGGGAGTGGCGGTGCCGGTGCTGTATGGAGTGGAGGAGGGGGAGCGGTGTATCGTGATGCAACGAGTGGCGGGCCACAGCGTCAAAGACCTCTTCCTCTCCCTCGCCCACACATCTCCCACTGCTGCTGCTGCTGCTCCTGCTGTTACCAATACTAGCGCAGACCCACCTGTCAGTACAGGCACGGGAACACGCACGGGTGCAGGAACAGAAACAGGAACTAGTGAGGATAGGGCGAGGGGCGAGGGGTTGCACCCGCGGGTGGCAGAGGTGGCGGCATGGATGGGCGAGGCGATAGCAAAGCTACATGATGGTGGCATGGTGCACGGCGACCTCACCACCTCCAACATGCTGCTCTCGCCCCTCCCTGCTGCTGCTGCTGCATCCGTGGCTTCACCAACACCAGCAGCACCGGCAGCAACCCCAGCAGCAGCAGTGCCACCCGAAAGAGCAGCAGGGGCAGCAGGGGAGGCAGCAGGGCCAGCGGCGGCAGCAGGGGGGGCAGCAGGGGCAGTGGGGGCAGTGGGGGCAGTGGGGGCAGGGAGGGAGCGCGTGGTGGTGATAGACTTTGGGCTGAGCTTCAACTCCACCATTGCGGAGGACAAGGCTGTGGATCTCTACGTGCTTGAGCGGGCACTCATCTCGTTGCACTCCAGCAATGGGGATATTGTATGTTCTTACCCTGCACACCCCACACACCCGCCACTTGCAAGCCAGCCTGCCTTTCCTTTCTCCTCCCCACGCTGCTCCCACCTTGGCCGTCCTTCTTCCCCTGTGCCCTCCCCCCTCCCCAGTTCCTTGTTCGTGCTTGTTCTTCCCTGGTTCTGACTCTTGCATTGCTCTTGAATGTAAGCTCCCCCGCTGTCCTCCTGCTTGTTTGTTCATCTTATCCATGTGTAACACCAGATGTCGGCAGTGCTGACATCGTATCGCCACCATTCAAGGTTCTGGAGCGCCACACTGAACAAGCTGGGGCAAGGTGAGATCCCATCCTGATAAAAGTAACATTCTGAGACGTCTCAAAATGTTACTTTTATCACATGCTGGGGCAAGGTGAGAGCCCCTCCTGATAAAAGTAACATTCTGAGACGTCTCAAAATGTTACTTTTATCACATGCTGGGGCAAGGTGAGAGCCCCTCCTCCATCCTTGCTCCTTGCCAAGCTAGATGTGAGCTTTACTAGACCCAGGAAAAACTTCCGAAGTGCCACACCGAACGGGCTGGGGATGAGAGCATACATCGCAAATCTTCAAGTGTCCCAGTCTCGGGCATATCCAAGTGTATTTCACTCATGCTTGGTACTTTTCTTTCTTCTCTTGCCTGACCCGCTGTCCCAGTTCGACTACGAGGGAGGAAAAGAGCCATGGTTGGTTGAAGATTAGGCTGAAATTGCATTTAGGTGTTGGAAATCCGAATACAGTATAACGAATACTGTATACCAGTGTGCTGTTTGGTTTTAGTGTAGTCCTCTTTATAAGCCTCCAGCTCCTCCAATAATTGTCACAATTATTGTAGGGCCAGAATTATTGGAGGTCAGCATTATTGGAGGGTAGAGGGTACAATTATTGATACACCATTATTGGTGTGAATGGGTCATTCTGGAGGGGTAGCTGGATGCATATATACCCTGCTGTGTCACATCATTGAGTACTCATTGTGTCATCCTTTTACTTTTCAATGATCAATGCAAGATTTCTATCTTGTTCTTTTCTACAAACACGTTTCCGCTACGCTGGCACTATGCCTTTCTAGCATGGTATCAGAGCTACTCTAGGGGGCATGCTGCCAAAGTTGGTCCATAAAAGTTGTTAGCAATCACTTCGGATAGGTACCTGCATACAGTCAGAGTACCGCACACCCGGTCTACGCTTTCGTACACCTGGTGTTCGCTGTTGGTTACAACCGCGCGTTTACCGCACACTTGGTGGACGGTTTTGTCAAGGTCATGGCGCACTTCGATGGCGAAGTGGATCCTGGATATGCGGCTTTTGAAGAAGCCATCATGGCTCAGCATGAGCACCTGGAAAGCATGATTGCAAGGGCACCACCAACTCTCCAAGCTTCGTTAAGGGACAAGTTTGGAATGACAATTCAGCCAAGAGCAAAACTCTCTCATGAGTTCAGCAATCCGTCCACCCATGGACAATCTCATTCAAGCACTCCACGTACTAACCAAACTCGTGCAAATGTTCATGCAGGAATTGATGGTGAAAGGGAACTGGGCATACCTCAAGGAGGAGAATCATCCCAATGGAGGGATGCATCCGTCCAAGGAGAGGAGATCGCTAATTCCGCACCTCAATCATCCATGCAAAGGGAAGCACGGGGGAGGAATGATGAGTATTGGAGTGCAGTGCTTGGTGGAATGAGAAGTGGACAGATTGGGCATCAGGGTGACAGAAATGGTGAAGTGGGTGTGGAAGGTGTGGGGTTCGCCTCCTACACTATTGGTGCTCCCCCACTACGACGACTTGCGACCAACTCCCATCCCATTGGAGTTCTTCCCATGCCCAGGTCTCACCTTCATGGCGACAACATCATCCCTCCACGTGCACATCGTCCACCAATCAGCGCACACTCTGTGGACAGCATGGGGCGGATGGGATACAGAATGCAGTCAAGTGGTGTCATGCGACGGGATCAAGTGGAAGTGTTGGAACGTCAACTTGGTGGACAGAATGGAGATATGCGGCGCACGGTACAACTACCTCGACCGTCAACCGTGCCTACTCTCTTCGACCCCGCTCCACGCGAATACACAGAAGAAGACAAGGAACGGCTGTCACGCAAAATGGTGGGAGCAACGGTGGACAAAGCATTCACCACTACTCCGTTTGATGGCTCGAACTTCCGGGAGTGGGCACTACGGTTTCGTATGAACGCTCGCGTCACGAATCTGTGGGAGTTCTTTGTGACCCTGCAGTATCCGGTTACCATGGGAGATGGTGACATTGACGACGCTATGGGGCGGCTGGAAATGCTACAGGCGGATTACTCCCAGCGTGCGGCACTCGCCTTTTGGGTCCTATTGCACAGCGTGAGCGCCACGATTCAACTACAGCTAGACATGTTCCAGGAATCCTACAGCCCGGCTTATGAAGCATGGGAGTATTTGATGGACACTTACCAGGCCAAAGATTCGGTGGCGAAGGTCTCTCTCATGAAGCAGTTGGACAACCTGAAAATGGGGAATCAAGAGAGGGTGGAGGAGTATGTGAACCGCGCAACGGCGATTCGGGACAAGTTGGCACTCGCGGGAAAGATGGTGGATGAGGACACATTCACCTTAAATCTGCTCACCGGACTACCGGCACATTGGGAGGAGATGAGGCACTCGGCAATGCTGCACAACGTGACGGACAGCTTCACTTTGCAGCGGATGATGATTCGGGAGCAGAGATATCACGATCTCATCACAAAGGATAACCGTGACCGGCGTCCACCTCGCATGGTTGGACAAGCACGTGGAGACTGCTCACCTTCTCCAACTGCAAAGGGCAATAACGGGAAGGAGGGGTGAATTGGGGAGAAAACGCATGGCAAGGATGGAGATGCAAGTCGCTCATCTCTCGTGTGTTGGTACTGCAAGGAGCCTGGCCACCCCTTCTTCAAGTGTACCAAGGCACCCCCTGGGTGGATACCACCAGGGTGGGAACCGCATACCCGCGGAAAGGCAAAACTGCACACCAGCGACAGCCGTTCGTCCTCCCCACGAAGGAGTTGCAGCCCCAAACGTGACAACAATGCATCAAAACAGCAAGGGGCAGCCGGGGAAGACAAACAACGTACTGTTACGTGCATTGCAATGATGGGATCGTCACAAGCTACCTTACCGCCAGCTAAAGCGTCATCTTGGATGCTGGATAGTGGATGCAGCCAGCACATGACTTCGGACAAGAGCTGGTTTGAAGAGTTAAGGGAGCTGGACGAACCTGTTTATGTGGAGCTTGCTAATGGGAGCGAGCTGAGCAGCAAGATGACAGGAACGATCAGAGCAACAACACCTGATGGGACAACAGTTCGGTACACTGACGTCCTCTACGTACCTGGCTTGAAGAGTAACCTGCTCTCCTATTGTCAGCTGCTGAAAAAGGGAGCGCACATCAATACAATTGCTAATGGAGACACGGAGGTCACCATGAAAGATGGAGAGGAGTACGTGCGGATTGGATTTGCTAAGAACGTGGATGGAGTGCTCGTGGTGCAATATGCGCATGCACTTACATCCGCCCATGATCCTGGACATTCCCGTTATGACGCGTCATCGCATCAGGTTGATCGTGAGGGGGTTACCCTTTTCCGCACACCTGGTGTGCACATTGACGCACATGAGAGCACGGATTTCCGCACACCTGGGATGCAGTCGAGTGGCAAGTCTGCACATGCCTCTGTCACATACCGCCTAGCGCACAAAGCCTGCATCGTGCGGAATCCGGCACATGATGTTGATACGGATGAAGTCTCACCCCACTGTGTGGTGTGGACTTCAGGGGGAGGAGGACACAGGTCCGTAGTGGATTCGGTTCCTGCATTCTCGACCATTGAAGGACATGAAGGCGAAGGAGCAGAATATGCAAAACAAGACTTACCTGGAGCTGATGTAGCTGATGAAGTCAGTGCAGTTGAAGGAAGCGGAGGTACAGCTGATGGCGTACCTGTGACTGGTGTTTCCATTTCGGAAGGCGTGGAAAATGATGATGTGGGAAATGAGGTGGACTAGCCAAGCAAGCAGCGGGGTTGGGGTGTGGAGTGTATCTGGTGGCACTGGAGTGAGACATGGAGTCACAGTGCATAAGTGGAAGACCTTCTCACCAAGGGTTGCCAATAGGCAGGGGGAGCAGGCAGAATGGATGCAGCCGGTCGTCATCCGTTGTGAAGCAGTAGTATCGTGCGACTAGTTGCTGCTGATGAACGGCACAACCGCGAGGGAAGAACGGAGAATCTACATGGGAGAAAACATTTCTGCATACCTGGTGTGGACGCTATTGCATACCTGGTGTGCAAATTTCTGCATACCTGGTGTGCACTGCATACTTAAAGAGGACGTTTCTGCATATATGGAGTACAGTTTTCTGGGATACTTGGAGTTCGTCGGCATGCGCAACCCTCGAGCTGATGAAGTTCGGCAACTCCGGCTACTACCGTGTGTCGACTGGAGTGTAGGGGGAGCATCACATGACAACATGGGTGAAGTTCGGGCAGACTTAGCATCATCTGGTGGTGTGCATTCAAGACTTGCACAAACTGATGCCATCGCATCCCGAGGCAGGGGGAGAAGGGCAAAGGCAGAGCAGGAAGCCAGGGGGAGAAACGACACACGAAGATACAGCAAGCACGGACAGGAAAATGGTGTAGCAGACGCGCAGCAGATCGTCAGCCGCTAAGCCGTCGCTTCTCCCGCACGCCGTGTACGCCTGCCTGCGCCAGCCGCACGTCACGCGTTATTCGCTACCAGTTCGCGTCATCAGCAGTCGTCGCAGGCGCACATCCGCTGCGGTGTTTTTTTGTCGTCGCACAGGAGGCATGCGAAAAAGACAGCAGCGCTGACAATCGCGTGACGTAAAGTTGACGGTTTCGGAAATTCGGTGTGCGCTAAGGGCAATCCGCCATGACGATCTACGCATTTCGCCATGGTTACGAGGAGATTTCGTCATGGAGCTGCTACTATTTCCTCAGTAGCAGCCACTACGCGCTGTATCTAGATCTGGAAAGTCGCCAGTGGAAGGAGGGATTGGAAAACATCAAGGGAGGAGGTTTGGTTGGAGTTTGAAAGCACCAAAGGCTTGGGAGGGGAAAGGTGCTACAGTGACGAGCAGCTTGGCCACCACCAAACCCTAGCTTGGTTTGGGCGCACCCCTACCTTGTGGTGGTACACCACCTCGACCACCCCATCCTCCAAGGAAAACGGATTCACTAAAACCTACAGCAAGGGGGAGTGTTGGAAATCCGAATACAGTATAACGAATACTGTATACCAGTGTGCTGTTTGGTTTTAGTGTAGTCCTCTTTATAAGCCTCCAGCTCCTCCAATAATTGTCACAATTATTGTAGGGCCAGAATTATTGGAGGTCAGCATTATTGGAGGGTAGAGGGTACAATTATTGATACACCATTATTGGTGTGAATGGGTCATTCTGGAGGGGTAGCTGGATGCATATATACCCTGCTGTGTCACATCATTGAGTACTCATTGTGTCATCCTTTTACTTTTCAATGATCAATGCAAGATTTCTATCTTGTTCTTTTCTACAAACACGTTTCCGCTACGCTGGCACTATGCCTTTCTAGCAGGTTGAAGATTAGGCTGAAATTGCATTTAGGTGATTTTTCCTGACAGATGTCACATTCAATGCTACTGGTGCACTCAATAAGAAAGAAGCGAATAGTGCTCTTGTGCTACATGAATAATGCAAACTTGTTCCTATTTTAACCCCCCTCCCCAACCCCACCTGGCATTTACTAAAAGGATGAGAAGACCCTGACAAGTGGAAAACCAGAAAAAACAAAAAAATCTTGGGCTCAAAATAGTGGATGAAACAGGAGAACCTATAATTTAGGAAAGAGTGACTTGTAAGTTGAGTCAAGGAGGGCACCTCACCAGTACTACTAGTTGTATTATTGGTTGATATAGGGTTGGAAGTTGAAGTCGTGTAGTAACCACTCGTGTTAAATCGGACCGTTCTGTGCGAAAGCATCTCCACAGATTACGGGGCACATCGGCCGACACTGACAACGTCAACCGAGTCGCACACGCAAGCTCCTTATAGCGCGTACAATTAGCTGGCCTTGATTGTGTATGGCTAGAGAGCAGGAGAGCAGCGAGGGAACCTTTGTGGTGCGAGGATCATCTCATCGGTATTGCCGGTACTGGTGGCTCGTTACTCTAACCCTTATGCGATCAGTGTCAGGTTTGCCAACACTCGCTTCCGTTATAGGTAGACCCGTTACATGTGATCTGATTTGAAGTTTCTTTCGAATCATGCTAGGTCACGTGGCAGCTAGACAGCGGGAGCTGCACCGCGCCGCGCATCTCGCCGCACCAGCCGCTGCTGCCGCCGTTGCGCTGCTGCGACACACCCAGCTGCTCACGTCGCCGTCCTTTTCCCCACCACTTATCACGCCTCGAGATGCCGCGCCTCGCTCTCCATCGGCGGGGCTGTCCGTATTCAACGGACCGTACGGCGGCGTTGCCTCTCCCGCATCATCCGCAGCTTCTCGTGTCGAATCGAGCGCGATCAACGGCGCGATCAGCGGCGCAATCCACGGCGCAGTTAACGGCGCAGTGAGCAGCCCGATCGACGGGTCCCTTAAGAGATTATTCTCGAGCTTAGCCCCGAGGCGCGGTCTCTCTCCTACAATCACCCACCACAAACCCTCCTCCACGTCATCATCCATGTCATTCTCGCCGCTGATTGGTCCCAGCAATCGCCCCTTCCATAGTGGCATCCCCACCGCTCGCAATGGCTGGGGTTTCGGATCTGATGACACGTGGCAGAATTTGGGAACATCGTCATCCTCTCTGACCAATTGGGGCGTGCGAATCGTCCCCGAGAAAAGCGCCTTCGTTATAGAGCGATTCGGGAAGTATTACAAGACTCTAGGTTCCGGCATTCACCTACTAATTCCGTTAGTTGACCGAATCGCGTACGTGCACTCGCTGAAAGAGGAGGCGATCCCGATCCCCAACCAATCAGCGATCACCAAGGATAACGTCAGCATTCAGATCGACGGAGTGCTGTACGTACGGGTGAGTAATATTAGTAGTATTGACCAAGGTGAGTAAGATTCTCATGCTGGAATGTCGTTCTCCAGAACTCCGCCATCACCAAGCAGGATAACGTCAGCATTCAGATCAATGGTGTTCTTTTACGTCTGGGTGAGTTAACAGTATTAGTGGAGCTGTTCAGTAGTGAGTGGTTACTGTTGAAATCGCTGTGATGCTTGTCGAATGGAATTCGCTCTTTGGAATGGTGTCGTGATGCTTGTCCACTGCCCTCCCCCCTTCTACTGGAATGCAGGAACTCTTTCCCCCTTCTACTGGAATGCAGGAACTCTTCCCCCCTTCTACTAGAATGCAGGAACTCTTCCCCCCTTCTACTAGAATGCAGGAACTCTTCCCCCCTTCTACTAGAATGCAGGAACTCTTCCCCCCTTCTACTAGAATGCAGGAAATCTTCCCCCCTTCTACTAGAATGCAGGAACTCTTCCCCCCTTCTACTAGAATGCAGGAACTCTTCCCCCCTTTTACTGCCCTTCCCCTTGAGTCACTCAACCCCTCCTCCCCTGCTCTGTTTTCTCCGCCCGCTTTTGATGCGTCCTCCACCGTCAGATCGTGGATCCGGTGCAAGCATCGTACGGTGTGGAGCGGCCGCTGTACGCAGTGGTGCAGCTGGCACAGACGACCATGCGCAGCGAGCTGGGGAAGATCACCCTCGATAACACTTTTGAGGAACGGGATATTCTCAACACCAATATTGTGGTATGAAGCATGTCGGGTGGTATATGTGTGCTGTATCGTGCATACTAGGGTAGTGGGTGTGTGGATGTGCAGCAGTGCAGCGAGCTGGGGAGGATCACCCTTGATAGCACTTTTGAGGAGCGGGATATTCTCAACACCAATATTGTGGTATGAGCTGGCGTTCTGTATGCTACGTGTGCCCGTATGTAAAATGTATTTCATTTCTTCTAATCCATGCTTCTTGTTGCGTGTTTCCCTTGCTGCTTCTTTGTGTGTGGATGTGTGCATGCGCGTGCATGTGTGCATGTTTGAATGTGTGCATGCGTGTGTGTGAACAGAGGGCGATCAACGAAGCCGGGCAGGCATGGGGCATAGAGTGCCTGAGATATGAGATCCGTACGTACCACTCTCACACGCACACGTGCATTGCTTCTCTCCCTACTTTTCTTTCAACCCACCCCCCCCTCCCTTCCCCCCCCCCCCTTTTTTTTCGTATTGGTGAACATGCATGCGACCCTTGTTATTCAGATTCAAGCATATGCACGTGTAGGTGACGTTTAATCCCCACTTGTTTCACCAGATTAATAGAAATATTGTACATGCCACCTGGCATATGGCACATGCTGCAGGTGACATCTCACCTCCTCCTGGAGTGCGGGCGGCCATGGAGATGCAGGCTGAGGCGGAGAGGCGGAGGCGCGCTCAAGTTCTGGAGTCAGAGGGTGAGTGGAGGAGTCAGAGGGTGAGTGGAGGAGTCAGAGGGTGAGTGGAGGAGTCAGAGGGTGAGTGGAGGAGTCCGAGCGTGAGTGGAGGAGTCAGAGGGTGAGTGGAGGAGTCAGAGGGTGAGTGGAGGAGTTAGAGGGTGAGTGGAGGAGTCAGAGGGTGAGTGGAGGAGTCAGAGGGTGAGTGGAGGAGTCAGAGGGTGAGTGGAGGAGTCAGAGGGTGAGTGGAGGAGTCAGAGGGTGAGTGGAGGAGTCAGAGGGTGAGTGGAGGAGTCAGAGGGTGAGTGGAGGAGTCCGAGCGTGAGTGGAGGAGTCAGAGGGTGAGTGGAAGAGTCAGAGGGTGAGTGGAGGAGTCCGAGCGTGAGTGGAGGAGTCAGAGGGTGAGTGGAGGAGTCCGAGCGTGAGTGGAGGAGTCCGAGGGTGAGTGGAGTAGTCCGAGAGTGAGTGCTTATTTTCTGTTGAGGCTGTACCCTGATACTCTAAATGTTTACTCAAATCTAAGCAATTGTCCGATTACAGAGGGTACGAGCCTTTGTTGAGACTTCCCTCTTCCTCCCGCCTTTCCCCTTCCCGTTTCCCGTTTCCCTTTCCTCGTATACCCCTCCCCCCCCTTCTCCCCCCTCCCCCCCCCCCCCCTTCCAGGAGACAGGCAGGCGAACATAAACATGGCAGAAGGGCGCAAAACGGCAGTCATCCTCGAATCAGAGGCCGCCATGTCAGACCAGATGAACCGAGCCAAGGGTAAGTGGCTCGGACACCGAGGCTCGAGGTTCGGGGATCAAGGCTCGAGGCTCGGTGAACAGGATGCCATAGATGTTTCAGAAACAGAGATGCCCCATTCTGCTGCCCCCTGCCCCTGCCTCATGATCTATCATATCTACTGTTGAGGCGCCTCAAAATGCCCCCGCCCCTGCCTCATGATCCATCATATCTTGATAGATCATGAGGCCCCATTCTTCTGTCCTGATTGTTCTTGAGAGTTCTCACGAGTGTTACCATATGCCCTGCTTCACACTTTTCCAGTACTCATGCTTCTTTCCTCTGTGCCCACCCATGTGCCGCTCTCCACCTGCCCTCTCTACCCTCACCACGCTATGCAGGAGAGGTGGAGGCGATAGTGTCAAGGGTGAGGGCGTCAGCAGAGAGCATTGGCATTGGCATGCGTTATGGCCTTTCCGATTCCCATGCTTCTCCCCCCCTGCCCCCCGTTCCCCCCCCTCACGCACCTCATGCAGGAGAGGCGGAGGCGATAGTGGCAAGAGCGAGGGCATCAGCAGAAGGCATTGATGTGCTGGCCAGAGCGCTCATGGCTGAAGGCGCCACCCAGGTGTGTTTTGTCAGAAGCATCAAGTTTACGGCGTATGGTGTGCTTGTGGGCGTGGAATGGAAAGCAAGGCTTGCTGGCACACCTGCATCAGCAGAGGACATTGATGTGCTGGCCAGAGCACTCATGGCTGAAGGCGCCATTCAGGTGTGTGTGGAGTATGGTTGTAGCGTGTTTGGTATTCTGGTGCTAAATGACTAACGGAGCATCAAAGGGGAGAGGGCTGTCGTGCTGGCGAGAGGACTTTCGAGTCGACTCAAAAGTCACCTAATGACTAACGGAGCATCGAAGGGGAGAGGGCTGTCGTGCTGGCGAGAGCGTTCATGGCTAAAGGCGCCATGCAGGTGTTTGTGTGTGCATGGACTCAACTGAGCTCATGTTTGTTCCGCTCTCCATGGCGCCTTTAGCCATGAACGATCTCGCCAGCACGACACCCGGTGCGTGCAGGTGCATGGGACTCAATTGAGCCCATGTTTGTTCCCCCCTCCATTCCAACCATCTGACTGCCTTCGATCCCCAAAGGAGTACGTGGGAGCGCTGGCAAATCTGGCCAGGGAGCCATATTTCTTCGTGCTTTCTCAAGCTCATCCGTTCTTCCTCTTCCTCCAACCCCTCCCCTCCTCTTTCCACGCTACCTCTCCCTATATCAGGCTGCATGCAAGCCTGCGAGTGGCAGAGCAGTACGTGGCAGTGCTGGCGAATCAGGCCAAGCAGGGAACGACAGCAGTTGGTGTCATCCTTGAACTCATACTTTCTCATTTCCTCCTTCATCCCTTCATCCTGCAATGCTCCCTCCTGTACTTTCAGGCCGCCAGCTTGCGAGTGGCAGAGCAGTATGTCGCAGCCCTGGCGAACCTGGCGAAGCAGGGAACGACAGTGCTGCTGCCGAGCAACGTGGGTGACCCGTCCTCCATGGTGGCGCAAGCACTCGCCATCTATAAGACCGTATCCAGTTCCCCTGCAGGTGTGACTGTACCGAGCACCCCTACAGATGTGACTGTATCCGGTGACGCTGTAACAGGTGGAGGGGCAAGTGAGCCGAGGAAAGCTGGACTCGTAGGGTTGCAATCGCAGGAGAGGGATAGAGAGGTTGGGGCTGCGAGCAGGGAGAGTGGTAGCGAGGCGGTGGATGGTGGTGGGGCTGGTCGGAAAGGGACTGGCTTCTCGTTGCAAGCACCACCTAAGTGATAAGACGGATGTATGGAAGGTTGGGAAATGTACGTGAATGTTTAAGTGAAGGATCACCAGTGTGTGTAAATGATGAAATCTCAATCGAGCTTGTTTGGAGTTTGCTTTGGAGCCTCAATGATTAGGGTTTGCAGAGAGGTGATTCTCCCTTGTGCATTTTTTGTGCGGTATGATGACATGACAGGTAGCTCTGTGCCTTGTTAGTGCAGATAATTCAAAGCCAGTACATTTACACATTTAGGTTACTGCTTTGCGTGTTTACGTTGTAAACCTTCAGAATTATGGCCATGTGGTTTAAAATACCATCCTCCACACTGGAGGTGCAACTAGAACGAGAGAAGGTAGAGCAGAGCATTTAGCGTTAAACCAGCAAGCTGCTTGAGAAGCTAGCGACTCCAAGAATTAAAGGGCGGCTTGAGAGGTAGGAACACATTGAAACTGTTGACTTGGTAGCAAATGGCGGCTAGACCGCCACTATTGCTGCAGTTCAATCTTGGTTGCTGGTGGTTTTTGAACCTCGGAGATTATAGAATCTGGTTTGTCTGGTGTGGTTAGCAGCACATGCAATTCCACTGCACACCTCAAAAAGGAAGTGTGATTTTTGGCGCGAACAATGCACACTCTACACACACTTTTCAAGTGTAGTGGTTCAAATGCAGCAGCCAATCGCGCACAGCACAGAACCGTGGCGACGAAGCACGTACAGTTCGCTAAACCTCGTCCAAGTCGGGCGGAGCTTCAAGAACGAAATCGCAGACCCACGTCCTCCCTGCCATTTCGCCACCAACCAAATGCTCATCATCCCATCACCAATAATTTACCTCAGCTGCCCGACCGCAACTTGTTTGAACTTTCAAATTCTTATCTGTGCGGCAGTGTGGACCTCGGGAACTCCAAAACTTGTCTTCAACAACAAGCTGCTGCCCGAGGTTCGTGGTTCATGTCATGGTTCACTTCACTCCGTGTTGGCCTGATCCCTGAGGTCACCGCTTCTAGCAATTCTCAAGGTTGGTTTACGTCAGGCGGAAGAAAGGTATTGGTTTCCGCCATTCCCAGTCGATGTCGTATAGCTTTCCCAGATAGGTCGCCTGTCAGGCGATAGTTAATTTCATCAACGAGGTGTGATGCCTTTCGATAAGTGTACTTAGTATGTTAGCAATCTAGACGACTGTGCTTCGTGAAAGAGTAACTCGATGGCGTCCAAGGCGACGCCGATCGACCATTCGAGCTACGTAGGTCGGAAAGTGAAGAAGGATTTTGGAGTGCACGGTTGGTTCACAGGTCGAGTCGAGTCGTACGATGCCGACGAGAATTTCTTTCTGATCAAATACGAAGACGGCGATTGCGAGGAGGTGGAGTTGCAGGAGCTCGAAGGAATCATTGTAAAGCGAGGGAGACCGAAGCGTAACTCTAATCCTCCCTTACCACCCGCATCAGGAGGAGCTCATAGCGTAGACTCCACGCCGATAATTGCGAATAAACGTTCTCTCGCAGGTAAGCATACTCCCGTGGCGAAAGATATTCCCGCAGCTGATCAAACTCCTGCATCGATTTCCTCCAAGAGAAAACAACCGGCTCCTGCTGCATGGCGTCACTCGACTGACTCTGCCGCGGACAGAACGTCCGAGCCAAGCCAGGCAGTTTTGGATGGTACAGCTACCGTTAAGTTGCCATTTTCAGCGGAAGCCGTTTTACAGAAAGGCAAGACGAACGCGGCCCTCTCCTCCGAGACTGTTGATCTAGGATCAACCGACGCGTCCGCGGCTGTGGGGGGGGCTCCTGCGGGGAAGCCCGTGCTTTCAGTTAGGGATGCCATTAATCAGGCGCGCGCCGCTAAGAGCCAGTTGAAGCAGCACGCGCAGGGCAAGGCCGGGCGAAAGGCCCCCAAGGGCGGTAGAAGAAGGACCCGCGGATCCTCGCGCGCCTCTGGCGGAGATACCGACAGCGATGACGAGGAGGAGGCGGAAGAGGCGGATGTGGAGGAGGAGGACGAGGATGTGGAGGTTCAGGAGGAGGGGGGTTCTAGAGGGGATTTGATTTCGTGCCGTGGTGGACCTTCCGGTTCAGGCGGAGAGCATTCCAGCGGCAAGTCGTTTCAGGATCTGTTTGCGTCGCAGACTGACCAACGGCAAGTCCTTCTGGCGCTGCCTGCACGCGGCGCGTCGCCTGTGCTCCAGCTCCCACCTCTTCCCGCCCGTGCGCGACCCATGCCGCCACCTACCCCAGATGCACCGTCACCCATGCAAACCCCCGCTGCCCTCCCAGGTTCTTACAACAAACGCCATGCCCCCGATCTCTCTACACCGCCATCCGCGTTAGTATCAGCCCCTCGTTACACTCTCCACCAATTTCGCGACACTTCGCGCCATAATGTCCCCAGACCGCCTCCGTTACCACCTCCACCGGTCTCAACCCTCCTCCCGCCTTCCTCCACCGACCTGCCAGTCCCAGCAGAGTCCGTTCTTGATCTTCTCTCCGTCTACTCTTTCCTTCGCTCTTTCAGTCTTCAGCTGTTCCTCAGCCCGTTCACTCTAGACCAGTTCTGTCACGCCCTCACCACCCCGCGCGCCAGCCCACTAATAGACAGCGTCCACGTGGCGCTCCTGCGTGTGGTGGACTACGATCCTTCGTCAGCAGCGATGGGAGAAGGCGGCGGAGGGGGCGCGGGAGGCGCGGGGGGCGCGGGAGGAATGGGAGGTGCGGGAGGGGTGGGACCAAAGAAGCAGGACGATTGTGGGAGTCTGCATCACAGGGAGCTGGACAAAGCATCTCTGGATGAAATCACCTGGCCGGAGTTTCTCCTCCTCTTCCTCTCCTCCCGCTCGTCCTCCCGCCTCAACAGCCGCAGGCTCGGCCACTCCGCCCTCGCCTCCTGCGACTACTACCTCCTCCCCGCCTCCACTAAGATCGACTTCCTCTCGCTCCTCTGCGACGAGGCTTTAAGTAGCGGCGTGAGGGTGCGACTAGAGATAGAGCGCCGGCAGGGGGAGCTAGAAAGGAGGTATGCGCTGGCAGGGGTTGGTATGGAGGAGGAAGAGGAGAATCTCGAGGATGTGCTTGCTCCGGTGGAAAGGCAGGGGAGGAGGAGGAGGGGTCGGAGGGGAGGAGGAGGTGAGGAGGATGACGAGGGGGATTATGGGCAGGTGGGGTATCAGAGCCTTGGGATCTCCGCACTCGCTGCTGCTGGGGTGCCGTCGGGTATGGCAGGGTTATCAGTGGTTGGGACAGGTACCGGTGGTGTTGCTGAGTCAGCAGGCGCGGGAGATGAGCTGGCAGACGGGAACGCGGACGAGTGTAAGCTATGCGGAATGGACGGCAATCTGATCTGCTGCGACGGCTGCCCGGGCGCGTTTCACTCCCGCTGTGTGGGAGTGGTGGCGGCAGCACTGCCGGATGGGGACTGGTTCTGCCCGGAGTGTGACATGAAGCGGAGGGCGGGCGAGGTGCTGGGGGCGGTGGTGCCCGAGGGGATGAGAGGGGAGCATCTGGGGGAGGATCAGCACGGCCGGGTTTACTATGGCTCCTGCGGCCGTGTTGTTGTGTAAGTGTGGTGTCTGTTTTCGCTGTGACAACTTGCCTCAGAGTCTCATCACAAGCCTTGTGCCTGCTGCACCAGCTTTTCTCCAAATGCGCTAACTGATTTCTTTCTGTTTTTTCCGTTCTCATTATTCACATTCAGGTCGGAGGAGCGTCACAATGGCACCCACGTGGTGGCATATTACAGCCCTGCAGACATCCCCAGCCTGCTGCACTATCTATCCACCCTCGGCCCTGCCTTTACTGCTGTCCACGAGGCTGTTGCGGCGTTTGTTCGCTCAGAACTGCCGCAGCTCGAGTCACCTGAAGACAGTGTGGAGGCACCTGAAGGGGATTCTGAGGCATTTGAAGATGATGTGGCGGTACCTGACGATGGTGTAGAAGCACCTGAGGGTGGGGTGGAGGCACCTGAGATTGAACCTGAACAGCTGCACGGCGCAGCTGACGTGGAGATGCGGGACGGGGATACTAATGAAGGGGATACTAATGAGGTAGAAGAGGTAGGAGAAGGAGCTGCTGTTGCTACAGGTGAAGATGACGGGGATCTAGCGGAGGTTAAGGCGGAGGAAGAAGCTACAGCCGAGATAATGGCGGAGGAAGGGGATGCAGCCGAGATGAAAGCGGGGGAAGGGGGTGCAGCCGAGATGAAAGCGGGGGAAGGGGGTGCAGCCGAGAAGAAAGCGGGGAAAGGGGGTGCAGCCGAGATGAAAGCGGGGGAAGGGGGTGCAGCCGAGATGAAAGCGGGGGAAGGGGGTGCAGCCGAGATGAAAGCGGGGGAAGAAGCTATAGTCGAGATAAAGGGGGCGGAAGGGGGTGCAGCCGAGATAAAGGCAGAGGAAGGAGGGATCGTTGAGATAAAGGGGGGGGAAGGAGGGATCGTTGAGATGGTCACAGCAGAGGCGGCGGAGGAGGATGGAGAGGAAGAGGGAAGACGGGAGGGGGAAAGACGGGAAGGTGTGAAGGTAGAAGAGGGAGCGAATGGGGCTGGAGAGTGTTGTGTAGATGGGAGTGCAGGTGGGGGCGCAGAGGGTGCAGAGGGATGTGTGGATGTGAGTGCAAGAGCGGGTGCAGAGGGCTGTGTGGATATGGGAGCAGGTGGGGGCGCAGAGGGCTGTGCGGATGGAGGTGAGACTGAGTGCGCAGAGAAGGGTTCAGACAACGGTGCAGACGGTGTTTCTATTGGGAGCGCTTGGGATCTGGCAGACGAGGCTGTAGGGGACGAGGCTGTAGGGGTTGTTTCAGAAATGGTTGGGGCCGCAGATTTGACTGAGACAGCAGAGGCGGCGGTTGGGGCGGATACGGTAACTGCTGGTGATATAGGATCGGGGGTAGGAGGGAGTGGCAAGGCACAAGGGGCAGAAGTGGCAGAGGCAGGAGATGGTGGAATGGCAGAAACAGGAGAAGCAGAAGCGGCAGAGATAGGAGAAGCAGAGGCACAAGGAGAGGAGGATCCCATGCAGACGGACCTCTCTTTTGTACTGAAGGAGTCTGAACAGCTCTTACCAGCAGAGGAAGCGACGGTTGAGGTGCAGCCAGGGGCAGGAGAGGAGACAGCAGACGCTGCAGGAGAAGGCTCGGTAGTTGCTGCAGATGGTGTAGGGGGAGGAGAAGGAGAAGGAGCATCAGAAGCAACAGCGCAAGAAGCAGCAGCAGCAACCCCAGCGGCGGCAGTAGAAGCAGGGGCACCAGAAGGAGAAGCAGCAGAGGTAGCAGCAGTAGGAGCAGCTGACAAGGCAACAGCACAAGCAGCAAACGAAGCAGAGCAACACAGAGAGCAAGCAGAGCAGCATGCAGAGCAGCAGAGGGAGGAACACGAGCCCAGCAGTGGAGCAGCAGCAGCGGCTGGTGAACAGGAGAAAACCCAGGGCTTGTCAACCCCTTCCCTGATAGCTGAGGCCGGCTTATCAGCCCCTTCACTGGCACCTCATGCGGGCTCAGAGCATCATTCACAAAGGCTTGAGGATGCATGGCAGAAGCCGGGAGGAGAGCGGATTGCCCGGGTGGTGGCGAGGCTGTGGGAGAGGCTCGGCGTGGGTGCTGCTGGGGAGGTTGCAGAAGCTACTCCTGCTGCTGCCACTGGTGCTGGTCCTGCTGATGGCGAGGTGCGGAAGAGCCTGTCTCAGGCAACAGCATTGAACGGAGTGGCATCACAAGAAGCCTTGCAGGCAGAGCAGGCGAAACATCAAGCACAGCAGGCAGAGCAGGCGGAACATCAAGCACAGCAGGCAGAGCAGGCGCAGTGGGTAACGAGGGTGGATAAAGCAGAGAGGGCAGAGCGAGCAGAGCGGGCGAGAGAAGGAGATCTTCTAGAGCCGTACACGAACCGCTACGCCCTGGGGGAGGTATCCTCAGCGCTAGCCCTCGAGCTCTGCTCCGCAACCGAAGCAGCCGCACAGGAGGCGGAGAGGAGAGGCACAGGAGGCAGTAGAGACGAGGAGGACTCAGAGCACAGAACGAGGCGGTCTGGGCGGCGGTCTAAGGGGCTTATGTCAGTAACAGAGCAGATGAGAGTGTTTGCGAAGTGCATGCCTGCTGGGTACTGGCCGATGTATGCCAGTTTCTCCGGCCGGGCTGGGGCTGCAGGGGCAGCAGGGGCAGCGGGAGCAGGGGGTAGAAGCTCTGCTGCGGCGGCAGCGGCAGCGGCAGCGGCAGGGGCGGGTGTTTTCAAGGAGCGGTGTGGTTGGTGTGCGCACTGCCAGGCGGCTCATAGGAAATACTGCCTGCTTGTCTCCGCTGCCCGTGCTGCCTCTGCGACTGCCACTGCTGCCGCGGCTGTCGGGAACGTCCGGGCTGCTAGTCAGCGCAGGCTCGGGGGAGGTCTGGCGGGAGGCTTGGGAAAGGGAAGAGAATTGGAGGGGTTTGGTGTGGGGGGAGGGGTGGGGCTGGGAGGGGTGCGGGGCATGAAGGGGGAGGAGACGTCAAGAGATGGGAGGCTGGATGCTGTAGTGACACGGTTGATGTACCTGGAAGGGCAGCTGCACCCTCTGCTGGAAGGCCCTTGGAACGATTTCAACTGGCGCCAGCACTGGCGGCAGCGCGCAGTGCAAGCCACTACTCTACTCCAAGCGAAGCAGCTTATAAAGGAGGTGGCTCGTTCCCTACGCACCGTCGCCCTCTCCTCCCATTGGTCGGCGGAACCAGAGCCACCCGCTCCCCTCCCAACCAGCCTCCCGTTACAAGCACACCCAGAGCCTGTCACCCCTGCTGCTGCCCCGCGCCTCTCTGGCCGAAGGCGGAAGTCTCAAGGAGGGAGAGGAGGGGCAGGGAGTGTGTTTGGAGGAGGGGGGAGAGGCGGGGGAGGAGCAGGGGCAGGTTCGGTGCCGGCGTGGGTGATGCTGATGGAGGCTCGGCGAGCGGTGCGGGTCAAGGTGCAGTGGTTCCGAGGCTCTGGCTTGGCTCGGCACGCTGCGGACTGGGAGCAGCTGCCTCGGGATTTGGCTCGGCGAGCGGCTCGGCAAGGTATGTGGCGTGGTTTGGCAAGGTGAGTGGCTCAGCAATAGGGCAAATAAAATGTGATTCTACGATCCTGAATGGAAAGATTGTTATGTTTTGTCCGTTGGACCAGATAAGCACTCCCCTTTTCCCTTTTCCCCTCCTGTCTGCCCACTGCCCTTCCTCCCATCGATCTCCCTCCCTCGTCTCCCTCATAGGGGCTTTCAAGGAGCCTCAAAGGGTTGCTGTCTTCAGAGTGCTGTTCGCCAACCGCCTCTTCCCCCACATTTCTAATTGCTCCCATCCTCTCCCTCCTCTGAGACGCCTCAAACCTCCCCTTGGCTCCCACCTCCCGCCCTCCTCCCACCCACAGGCGGCTTCAAGAAGCTCCCAGGGCTGCTGTACGGAGTGCCATTCGCCAGCCAGCGAGGGGTGCCAGTGCGAGCAGAGAAGGTGGCGTGGGAGGCGAGGGTGGATGCTGCCCGCTCCGTCGCCCACCTGGCCCTGCAGCTGCGATCTCTTGAAGGGCTTATGTTACTATGTCTGATCAACACCCCCCCATTTTCCCCTTTCCCCACCTCCCCCCTTTCCCCCTTCTTCCCGTTCCCCCTACTTCCCTCCTACTTGTCTTCTTTCTCCTTCCCCTCCCCCTTCCCACCCACAGGCGGCTTCAAGAAGCTCCCAGGGCTGCTGTACGGAGTGCCATTCGCCAGGCGCCGAGGGGTGCCAGTGTGGGCAGAGAAGGTGGCATGGGAGCGAGGGTGGATGCTGCCCGCTCCGTTGCCCACCTGGCCCTGCAGCTGCGATCTCTTGAAGGGCTTATGTTACTATGTCTGATCAACACCCCCCCCTTTTCCCCTTTCCCCCTTCTTCCCGTTCCCCCTACTTCCCTCCTACTTGTCTTCTTTCCCCTTCCCCTCCCCCTTCCCACCCACAGGCGGCTTCAAGAAGCTCCCAGGGCTGCTGTACGGAGTGCCATTCGCCAGCCGGCGAGGGGTGCCAGTGCGGGCAGAGAAGGTGGCGTGGGAGGCGAGGGTGGATGCTGCCCGCTCCGTCGCCCACCTGGCCCTGCAGCTGCGATCTCTTGAAGGCCTTATCCGATTAGACCAAATCAACACCGCTGCCGGTCCCCCCGCTGTTGCCGTTCCTGCCGCTGCCGCCGCTGCTGTAGCTTCTGCTGCTGCCGCTGCACGTGCCGCTGCTGCTGGTGGTGGTGGTGCTGCTGTTTATGGGGATGGTGATGACGTGGAGGAGAGCTGGGTCTCGTTGTGTGACGTGGCGTCGCGTGATTCGTTCGTTCTGGATAAGGACTTTCGGCCGCCGTTTGTGAAAGGGAGGAGGTGGAAGGCGGAGAGGGGGGTGGAGTATCTGCTAGTTGTGAAGAGTGAGGAGGAAAGGGAGGAGGGAGAGGATGAGGAGGATGGGGAAGAGTGTGACTCGGAAGAGGAGAGAAAGAGGAAGAAGAAGAGGGCGAGGGAGAGGTTGAGGGCGTGGAGGAGGAAGCAGAGGGAGGTGATTGAGGGAGTGGGGGCAGGGGCCGGTGTCAAGGAGAGGAAAGGGAAGGCTTTGGTTAAACATGAAGTGGAAAAGATCAAAGAGGAGACGGTTAGAGAGGAGGTGGTTAAAGAGGAGTTGGAGACGGTTGGAAAGGTAGAGGCGAAGACCAGGGGGAGTGAAAGGAAGGAGGATGTGGAAGTGAAGGGAGTGGGAGTTAAGGAGGAAAGGAAGGAAGAGGTGAGGGAAGTAGCGGTTCAGGAGGGTTTGGGGGCAGAGAGGGAGGCAAAGCGAGTGAGAAGAGGGGAGGGGGGGGAATGGGAGGCAGGGGGAGGAGGGGCAGTGGGAGGGGAGGGAGGTGCAGGCGGAGTGAGGGCAGATGCTGGAAATAATGGGACTCAAGGAACCGAAGAGACACACGAGACACAAGGGACACAAGGGACACAAGGGACACAAGGGACACAAGGGACACAATGGGTAGTAGGAACTGAAGGGACCCAAGATCTGGAAGCTCAGACTATCGCTGCCCAAAAGGGTGTTGCTGAGGCGACTTTTGAGGCGCCTCAAGAGATCGTTGCTGAAACGACTTTTGAGGCGCCTCAAGAGGGTGTTGCTGAAGCGCAAAGGCTTGAAGGCGTGGAGGTGGAGGCGGGGAAGGATGAGGAGGAGAGCGAGGGTGGCGGAGGTGGGGAGGCGACTCTTGCGGCGCCTGGGAAGGAGATGAGGGAGGATGAGGAGGTGAGGGAGGAAGCGGAGGAAGAGAGGAACGAAGAGGTGGAGGAAGTGCCGTTGAATGTAGATGGTCATGGTGATGGTGGTGGTAGTGCTGATGGTGATGGTGATGGTGATGGTGATGGGGATGGGGATGGGGATGGGGATGTGCGTGTTTGTGAGGTGGGTGGTGAAACGGTGGATCTGTCACAGGAAGACGAGGAGAAGGATCGCTGTAACGCCGCTGGTGAGAGCGCTGGTGGAGAGGCGAACGCTGACGAAGAGTTGAACGTTGATGACAAGGTGAACCCTTGGAAACGAAGGAGGAAGGCAGGTGGGAAGGAGGGGAATGTGACTGCAGAAGTGGGGGACGCTGGGGAGGGGGCACCTGGGAATAGAGAGGCGAATGAAGGATGCACAGGAGATGAAGATGGATGGGGAGGGGATGGAGAGAGGAGTGAGGGAGGGAAGGAGGAGAGTGAGGAGGAGGAGGAGGAATACGAAGAGAGGGACGAGGATCTGTTTGGGGAGAGGGAAACGGGGAGAGGAAGGGGGAGAGGGAGAGGGAGAGGGAGGGGGAGAGGGAGGGGGAGAGGAAGAGGGAGAGGTGGAAGGGGTGGGAGGGGTGGGGGACGTGGGAGAGGGGGAGCAGGGAGGGGGAGGGGAGGGGGGACGGCTGGTAAGAAACGGAAGAGAGGGGAGCATCTGGTTGAGTATATGAAAGCCAAACGTGCTGCTGCTGCCGCCGCTTCTGCTGAAGCTGCTGCTGCTGCTCCCACGGGTTCTGCTGATGCTGCTGCTGCCTTTGCTGGTGTTGCGGAAGTGGAGGAGGTAATAGGAGGTGGAGGCGGAGGGAGTGGTGAGAAGATCACAGATGCGGTGGAAGGGGAGAGGGGAGGGAAGGACGGAGGGAAGGAGGGAGTTAAGGAGGTAGGGGTGCAAGGGGAGGGTAAGGCAGGGAAGAAGCGTAAGCGGGAGCTGAAGCCTCAAATCATTCCTGAGGGCAGCCGGAGAGTGACGAGAAGCCGAGTGAAGGAGGAGGAGGGCGGGGCGAAGAAGGGCGTGGGAGAGAAGGGGAGAGCTGATGCAAAGGCTGCGGTTGAGGATGTGGTGAAGGGAAGAAAAGGTGGGGTGAAGGGGGGTGTAAAGGCAGGGAAGAAAGGGAAGGAAGAGGAGGAAGAGGAGGAGGAGGAGGAAGAAGGTGTGGTGATGGTGAAGGAAGATGAGGAGGTGGAGGAGGTGGAAGCGGTGGAGGAGGTTGGTGAGGAGAAAGGTGAGAAAGGGGGAAGGGGAAGAGTGGAAGGGGGCAGAGGGAGGAGTGTAGATGTTGCTGATAAGAACAAGTTGCGGCTTGTGGAGAAACAGGAGAAGGAGACAGGGGAGGAAGGGCATGGACAAGTAGTAGGGAAGGTAGAGAGGAAGATTGAGAAAATGAGAGAAGTGCAGGAGGTAGAGGAAGCAGAAGAGAGTGACGAGGAAGGGCAAGATGATGACGAGGAGGAGGAAGAAGACGAAGATGGGGGAGTGTGGGTGCCAGAGAGGCTAGTCCCATTGGAGCTGATCCGAGAGTTTGAGCACCGGAGGAGAACAGAGATCTGGGAGGAGCATGCTAAGGTAGTCAGAGCAGAGAGAGAGGCAGCCGAGGCGGCCGCCAGGGCTGTTATTGTTAAGTACATGAGGGAGAAGGTGCGGGCGATGAGGGAGAGACGAGAGCTGATGGTGCAGGCAATGGTGGCTCAGTGTAGAGAGATGGAGGGGAGGAAGCGGCGGGGGAAGGAGAAGCAGGGGCAGGGGCAGGAGCGGGAGGAGAAGCGGAAGCGGGAGAGCGAGAGGGAGCGGGAGCGGGAGCGGGAGAGGGAGGCGAGGGAGCATGAGAAGGAGGATCGGCGGGAGCGGAAGGAGAGGGTGAAGGAGGAGAGGGAGAGGGAGCGGCAGCGGCGGTTGGAGGAGAGGGAGAGGGCGAGGAGGGAGAGGGAGCAGGCATCAATGACGAGAATGTCACAGGTGGTGGGGGCGGAGGTGCAGGCGAGAATCGTGGCGGAGGCACGGGGGAGAATGCAGAGGGAGATGGAGGAGAGGTGTTCTGCTCTGTATGCTCGACTGGTGGCTGTGAAGAGTCAAGCAGGAGGTGCAGGAGGAGGAGGAGGAGGAGGAGGAGGAGGAGGAGGAGGAGGAGGAGGAGCAGAGGCGGTGGTGGATCCGTGCAGGGTGTGCACTCGAGGGCTCGTTGGTGATGGGTGAGTGGCAACAAGGGTGCATGCAAGGTGTCTCACATGTGGGAGTTATGACGCGATTGCCTAACGTATCAACTTATTGCACCTGGCAGTGATCATTTATTGTGCCTCTCCTCTCTCTTCTGCGCTGTCTTTTCCTCTTGCAGTCGTGTTTTTATCCCTTTTCTGATTCGCCCTACTCTCTATTTTCTCCTGCTCTGCCCTCTGTCCCTCCGCTCTGCAGCGCGAATCAGGTCTTCATATGCGTTTCCTGTAAAGGTGAGCGACTCTCCAAGTTTCCCAGGCCTTATCACATCAACTCCTGCTCCTTCACTTGGTTTTTTTGTCTGCCTTTCCTGTCTTCCTAGCCCTAATTAATTAATTACGCCTATTGTTCCACTCAACTCCAAATTCCGCTCCCCCAACATTCTCCCCCTTCCCCCTCACAGCCTTGACCCATGCCACATGCCTCTCGCCCCCCGACCTCCTCCCTCCGGCCTTCCAATCCGCCCCTCCCACTGAGCCATTCCCATCCCCATCCTCATCCCCAACACCGTCCCTTCTATCCCTCCACCTCGTCTGCCTCAACTGTGCCTTCTCCGTCTCCCAACAAGACGCTGCCTCTGCCACTGCTGCTTTGGCTGCTCTACCTCATTTGTCTCAGTCTGAAATCATCGTGCGCCCCCCCACCCTTTTTCCTTCCCCCATTTCCTCCCCCTCCCCCTCACAGCTCTGACTCACGCAACATGCCTCTCGCCCCCCGACCTCCTCCCTCCGGCCTTCCAATCCGCCCTTTCGACGGAGCCATCCCCATCCCCATCTCCCCCTTCCCTCCACCTCGTCTGTCTCAACTGTGCCTTCTCCGTTTCACAACAAGACGCTGCCTCTGCCACTGCTGCTGCTACCGAAGCTGCTGCTGCTGCCGATGCTGCCGCCGCCACCGCTGCGGCCTCTGCTTCTGCTTCTGCTGCTGCTGCTGGTGCGGCTGGTGTGGCTGGTGCCGCTTACGGTGATGCTGCTGCTGCTGGTGGTACCGGTGCTGCTGCTGCTGCTGCTGCTGGTGTTGGTGCTGGTTGTGCAGCAGCAGAAGGGCATGATGATGAGCAGAAAAGGAGGCGGAGAGTTTTCCGGGCAGAGCACCCGGTTTGGACGCTGCCCGGGACTCCGGGCAACCGGCACACAGTCGCAGGATATTATTTCGCCTCAGGAAAGGGCGAGAAGGAGAGACCGGAGGGAGAGAGGGGGCTGCAGTTGAAGTATATACCGTCAGGGTCAGGGGGGAGGAAGGCGATGGGGGTGCATGGGATGGGGGAGGGAGCGGGAGTGGCGTGCCGGCTGTGCAAGGAGGGGTATGATGAGAGTCGCTTCTACGTCGCCTGCAACTTCTGCGATGGTAAGCTGAAGCTGAGCGTATGGGGTGCCAAAGAGGGCTTGTTTCTGTTTGTTGGTGGGTATGGGAGCGGGAGTGGCGTGCAGGTTGTGCAAGCAGGGGTATGATGAGAGCCGCCTCTATGTTGCCTGCAACTTCTGTGATTGTAAGCCTCTTGAAACTGAGCTTGTGCGGAATCAGCCGTCTTGTTTTGTGTTCCTTTTCCCTTCTATCCTGCTCTCCCTTTGCTCCTTTCTATTTCCCTCCATTCTCCTAATCCTTCCCCCAGCCCACGTCACAGTTCTGAAGGAGAATGGAGGTGCAAGACATGTACCCATGCAGGGAACATCCCCCGAGAATGGAAGGAAACTACCTCACGTGCACTCTTGCCTTCCCTTTTCCTCTTTCCCCTTTTCCTCTTTCCCCTTTTCCCCTTTCCCCTGTCCCCTTTTCCCCGCCTGGTTTCATGGTGACACGCTACAGCTAGACATGCAGCTAGAAACAATCATCTTTCTCGATTTTCACCATGGTTTCATGGTGATCCTGCTTTACCTCAACTGCACTCTTGGCCTGTAACTCTCAGAAACACTCCTCTTTCTCCCTTTTCTCCCTTTTTCGCTTCCCGATTTCCCCTTTCTGCAGCCTGGTTTCACGGCGATACGTTGCAGCTAGACGAGCAGCCGGACGTTCCGATCCGGCTCTACCTCTCCCTTTTCCGGATCTAGCTTTTGAGTCGACTCAAAAGCAGGCTCTACCTCTCCCTTTTCCGGATCTAGCGATGCACTCTTTCCTGACGCTCAAAACAACCCTCTCCCCTTTCCTTGCCTCTCCTTATTTCCTTCTTTTGGTACCCTATTTCCCCGTTCCCCAGCCTGGTTTCATGGTGATACATTACAGCTCGACGAAAAGCTCGACATCCCCATCCTGCTCTACCTCAAGTGCAACCGCTGCCGTAAGATCGCCAACAAGCTGCATCCCTGCCGTCCAAACCACGTGGACCCCTTGGATTGGCCGCCACATGGCGCTGCCGCCCCTGCTCTTGACGAAACACCAGCAGAAGTGGCAGCAGGAGGAGGAGCAGGGGGAAGGGGAGGAGCAGGAGGGGGAGGGGCGGGAGGAGGGGCAGGTAAGGGAGGGAAGGCGGGAGGAGGTGGAAGAGGAGGGGGGAGGAGAAAAAGCAGCAGGGGAGCTGGGACAGTGGAGCAGTCTCCTGGCTATCCTGTTGGTGTTGCTGGTGGTGAGGCAATGATGGGTCAGGCCACCGGAACAACAGTGACTGCAGGGAACGCGGTAGCACCAGGTGTGATTATAACGGCAGAGAACATCGACCCTGATTCGTTCTTCGACTCGCAGCTGACAGCAACAGGTGATGGGATGGGTGGGGCCGGTGCTGGTGCCGGGGTTGGGGGTTCAGGAGGGGAACCATGGGGCGGAGGAGGAGGGGGAGGTGGGGGGGTGGAGGGGGAGGATGGGTCGTTCTGGAACATTCCTTTGCCCACGGATACAGATCTGATGGATGGGGCAGCGATGGAAGCACAGCTGATGGGTAGCGCTGGGATTGCCACGGGTGGTACTGGGACTGGTGCATATGCTGCTGCTGGTGCTGCTGATGGTGGTGGTGCTGCTGCTGCTGCTGGTGCGGGTGCCGCTGGTTCTGCTGCTGGTATGGCTGGTATAGGAGTGTCCGAAGGTCCTGGTACTGGTGCTTTTGTGGGTAATGCTTCTGTAGCTGGTTTTTCTGCTGCGGCTGCTGGTGCTGGTGGTGCTGCCAGTGGCGCTCAGCTGTTGCAAGAACAGCAATGGCAGCTGCAACAGCAGTATCAGCAGCAATATCAGCAACAGCAGCAGCAGCAGCAGCAGCATTTTGGACAGCAAATGGGGACACAGCATGCAATGTTTCCCCATCAGGTGGAGTCTAGTCCAGGTGGATTTTCAGGGGGATTTCCAGGTGGGCTGTCAGGTGGGTTGTCAGGTGCATTCCCTGGTGGTTTTCCAGGTGGCAATCTTCCTGCAGAAACTACAGCAGGTGGTGGCAGCAGAGGAGGAAGTGGGAAAGGAAGGAGACGAGGGGCAGGATTAACAGAGGCAGCAGCAGCAGCAGCAGTAGCAGTAGCAGCTGCTGCAGCTGCTGCTGCAACCGGAGGAGTGGGGGCAGGAGGGGGAGGAGGGGCAGGAGCAGGAGGAGTGGGAGGAGCGGGAGGAGGGGCAGAGGGTCAAGGCAGGAGGTTACGACCACGCAGGCCGCGATCAGCGTCTACTGCGGATAAAGGGGAGGTTATTAACGAGGCTGCACAGCAGAACAGTGCAAGCAGCGCCTTTCGAGGTTCTGGCCTTGCTTCTGCCCAGAACGTTCCTGGAAACCTCCCTGTTGGTCGAACAGTGTTGGTAGCAGGTCATTTGGGGCCTCCTGCGACTCCCTCTGCTCCTCTCCCTGCCCCTCTCCCTGCCCCTTTCACTGCTCCTCACAATATCCCTCTCCCTGCGCCGCTGCAACAGCCATATCAGCAGCAAGAGCAACAAAATCAGCAGCAACAGCAGCAGCAACAGCAGCAGCAACAGCAGCAGCAACAGCGGCAATATCAAGTTCAGGTGCACCATCAGCAGTGGCAGAGTCACCAGAATCAGCAATTGCAGCAACAGCAGCAACAGCTTGAGAAACAGCAGCTGCAGCAGCAACGAATTGCGCAACGGCAGCATCAGCTGCACCAGCAGCAGCAATTACTGCTGCTGCACAAGCGTTATCAAGAGCAATATCAACAACAGCAACAGCAGCAACATCAGCTGCAGCAGCAGCAGCAGCTACAACAGCAGCAACAGCAGCAACAGCGGTTGCAGCAGCAGCAGCAGCAGCAGCTACAACAGTTTCCTTCCAATGCACCATCAGCCTTCCGCCATCCTCCCTCGGGTCCTTCTTTGCCGCCCACACAGTCACACTTGCCACCCATGCCACCCACTCTGCCTCCTGCTGCCCACTTTCCCCATTACACTCAAGCCCCCACCACAAGCCCTCGTGCACTCCTCGCCTCCGCAGCACCTTCACTTGAGCCGTTTGTCTCAACGCACCCGCAAAGCCCTTCGATTCAATATCCCAGTGAACCTGCAAGTGAATATCCAAGTCAACCTTCCAGTGAAGCCCCAAACTTTGTGTCACATGCTGCAAATCTCGAGGCGCCGCAGATGCCGTTTGAGTCAATGCACTCTCAAGGCCCTCCCGTTCAACCGTCGAATCTAGCCCCGTCGAATCTAGCCGAGGCCCCAGCTCCGAGCCAGCTCCCGAACCACAGCTCGATTGAACCTCTGAGTGAATACCCGAGTGAAGCTGCATACCCCTCTGAGCCTCTTGAAGCCTCAGTTGAAGCCCCGATTGAAGCGCCGATCGAAGCCCCGATGGAAGCCCCGATTGAAGCCCCCCCGATGACTCCGGGGCAGCTGGTAGCCATGATGGAGTCTCTGCTGCTGGCGCGGGGGTTTGACCCTGCGAGAGCAGCGGCCGTGGCAGCTGGCGTGAGGGATGGGGACCCAAGCGCTGTCGAGGTCGTGAACGCTGCTTTCAGTGCCAGCCACGAGTGTGGGTCTGCTGAGCTGGTGGGGGCAGAGCAGGTGGGGTTGCAGGAGGGTATTGGTGCAGGGCAGGCCAGTTTGCAGCAGGGAGTTGGTGCACGGCAGGCAGGTTTGCAGCAGGGGGTTTCTGCCTCAGTGGATGGTGCTGGTGGTGTGGGGCTGGGTGATGGTGGTTTGGAGCAGCAGCAGCAGCAGCAGCAACAGCAGTGGCTGCAGCATGAGCAAGGACAGCAGCAGCAGCAGCAGCAACAGCAGTGGCTGCAGCAGGAGCAAGGACAACAGCAGCAGCAGGAGGTGGAGCAGGAGCAGTTGCCACAGCTGCAAGAGCAAGGGCAGCAACAGCAGCAGCTGCAGCAGGAGGAGCAAGGGCAGGAGCAGCAGTGGTCCGAGCAGCAGCAACAACAATGGCAGCAACAGCAATGGGAGCAGCAGCAGCAGCTGCAGCAACAGCAAGCACAGCAGCAGGAGGAGCAGTGGTCACAGCAGCAGGAGCAAGGGCAGCAGCAGCAGCAGCAGCAGCAGGAGCAGCTGGAGCAAGGACAGCAGCAGCAGCAGCAGTGGTCAGAGGAGCAGCAACAACAATGGCAGCAACAGCTATGGGAGGAGCACCAGCAGCAGCTTAGTCAGCAATTGCAGGTTGGGCAATCAATGCAGCAACAGCCCCAGTGGCAACCGGAACAACAGCAGTGGCAGCAGCAGCTGCAGCAACAACAGGTGGTTGTTCCAGTTGACGAGCAAAGTAGCATGCCTGTGCAAAGCTATAGCCAGTCACAAGAAGCATGGATGGAACAGGGTGCTCCCGTGAGCCAGGGTTTGATTGGTCGGACAAATGAGGTGAACCCTGTGTTGGTGGGTCAATCCCAAGGGAGAGTAGAGTCGACTGGGGCGATGGGAGTTGGAATGCAGTGGGAAGGGAATGAGGCAAGCAAGGATGCAAATTTGCCTGTGATCCAGGGCGTGGGAGATGGCATGGTGCTCGGCAGTGATGGTACTCTGATGCATAATGGTGCCACTGATAGTGGCAATGCACCTCTTGGTGGTGTGGGGCATTTGTCCATGTGGAATCAGTGGGGACAGTAGCAGCTGGAAGAAGCGTACAGTTCACTCGTGTATGCAGTGCATCACTACATTGAAGAATGTGGGATGGATAGTATGGTACAGATTTTTCTTGTAAAATACTCCTTCCTTCGTACACCATAATACAATTTTGGGTTGGGTTGCCCTTTCAAAGCTGCCCACTTCCACTAGTAACGAAGTGCCAAGTGCATCCAAGCGATTACGCCTGACACCCCAACAGATCGCGGAGACATCGGGGAACGCCTCGGATTGGCTGGTCGGCCTGAATCCTCCATTCGTTTCACTACCTAGGTTCTGTGGGTTGCTAGAGTTCCATCTAAGCCGGAACTTCCGTTGTGCAATCCCGTGTGGTCTCGAAACAGACGAGCCGGACTTCCTCGCTAGCAGCACAGCGCAATACACGTGTAAAATAGGCATATTGCGTCAGGAGCGCAGCTGCTGATTCCTCTAATGGTGCTCGTGGTCCCCTGACTGTGCTACACTGAACGAGCCTGCCAGTTTCAAATCGTTCGGAATTGAGGTGGCGGTTTACTGAAATGACATCTCGATGAATTCTTGTTGAAGTCTTGTTGATGACACAATGCATCGGAAACTCTAGCTTGCGTGTCAGTGGATTCGCCGTACGAGTACTGAGATGTCTCAAATGCCGATCGTGGACAGCTAGCTTCGAAGTGATACCTGGCACGACAACTCTGAAAGACGAGCTCCGTCACAGTGAAAATCCAGGAGGCTAGGAGTTAGAGATTACAACAATCCAGGAGATGAGGGATTCAAGGTCTCGGGAATCCAGACTCACTTTCGCTCCGTTAGGTTAAAACGAGCTGCTCTTTTTGTATCGCTGTTTGTAGGGCGAGCGCAGGACAGGAGACGACCGACCACGCACAGGCATTAGGCCTCTGAGGTGTCTCAAAAGGCACACGCATTCAGCCTGTCACGCACTGCGTACGATACTAACAATTCAACCACCAGGAATTCCTTCATGGAAACACCTTCAGCTATGGAGATCTGCTCGGCTCCCACCCCACCCACGTCATCTCCATCATCGCGATCCAGTCGAACGGTCCAGATTTTCGCCGTCCTCCTCGCAATCGCCCTCTTGTTCTTCGTCGCATACGTCCAAACCCGGCCGCCCGCAACCCCCGACGCCCTCCCCCGCGCCCTTCAAACCCCCGCCGCCCTCCGCTCTCTCATTCAACTCAACTCCACCGCAGCCTTCGGCGTCGTCCCCTCCGCCTTAAAACCCCGTCCGAACTTCGCCGCCACAGGCGGGGGAAGCAGCAGCAGCAGCGGCACCCGCGGCGCCCGCGGCGCCCGCGGCGCCCGCGGCGGGGGAACCGGCAGGGGGACCGGCGCGGTGTATCTCCGCGAATACAGGCAGCCAATGGCGAACGGGAAACCGGAATTCACGTGTTACCACACGGAACACCTCCCCTGTAATGAAGCGGATCGCAAGTTCGGGCCATCGCTCGACATGATCCGTGATTTAGAGCTCTCCCGCGCGGACCGCGAGATGCTGCACGTGCTGCGCCGCTTCCGCTGGCAGCGCGAGGAGCTGGCGCTGCAGGTGCCGCGGCGGGAGAGGAAGGTGGCGTTCATGTTCCTCACAAAAGGGGCTGTACCGCTGGCTCCGCTCTGGGAGAGATTCTTCAAGGTAGGTCTGTCTGTGGTTTCACTACCTTGTTCGCGAGGAGCTCGCGCTGCAGGTGCCGCGTCGGGAGCGGAAAGTGGCCTTCATGTTCCTCACCAAGGGAGCCGTGCCGCTTGCCCCTCTGTGGGGACGGTTCCCCTCCAGATAGGTCCTTTAATGGCGTCATCTCGAGACAAAAAAACGCCAGGTTTTCTGTCCAATGCCTCCTCCCCCGCATGCCACCTCCCCCACATGCCACCTGCAGGGCCACGAGGGGCGGTATTCCATCTACGTGCATGCCTCCCCAGACTACACCTTCCCCAAGAACGCCTCTACCCTCTTCAGCAACAACACCATCCGCAGCGAGCAGGTGCGTGCAGCATGCTCTAGGCTGGTTGGTCTCAATACACTTGAGGCGACTTTTTAGTCGCCTCAAATCAACTAAACGCCTCCACCGTTTTCAGCAGCCACACCACATGCAGTGAACTGTGCGTGCTCTTGACTTGACACGTATATCATTGGCGCCCAAGACGCCTCACTGGTCTCATTGGTGCCCGACACGCCTCATTGGTCTCATTGGCGCCCGACACACCTCATTGGTCTTATTGGCGCCCGACACACCTCATTGGTCTTATTGGCGCCCGACACACCTCATTGGTCTATCTGCTCGTTTTGTTGCAAATCATCACACGCACATGCATCTCTCTCCTCTTCCTCCCTTCTCCTCCTCCATCATCTCCTCCTCCTTCCTCCTCTCCTCGCTCTCCTCTTCTCCCAAATCATCCCCCCTTCCGCCAGGTAAGATGGGGTCTCCCCACCATGGTGGACGCGTAGCGATGTGCCTCATGTGTCAACTCTTAACTCCTCCTTCCTCTCCTTCCTCTCCTGCCTCTCCTGCCTCTCCTTCCTCTCCTGCCTCTCCTTCCTCTCCTTCCTCTCCTGCCTCTCCTTCCTCTCCTTCCTCTCCTTCCTCTCCTGCCTCTCCTTCCTCTCCTTCCTCTCCTTCCTCTCCTTCCTCTCCTGCCTCTCCTTCCTCTCCTTCCTCTCCTGCCTCTCCTTCCTCTCCTTCCTCTCCTTCCTCTCCTGCCTTTCCTTCCTCTCCTTCCTCTCCTGCCTCTCCTTCCTCTCCATCCTCTCCTTCCTCTCCTGCCTCTCCTTCCTCTCCTGCCTCTCCTTCCTCTCCTTCCTCTCCTGCCTCTCCTTCCTCTCCTTCCTCTCCTTCCTCTCCTTCCTCTCCTGCCTCTCCTTCCTCTCCTTCCTCTCCTTCCTCTCCTTCCTCTCCTTCCTCTCCTTCCTCTCCTTCCTCTCCTGCCTCTCCTTCCTCTCCTTCCTCTCCTTCCTCTCCTGCCTCTCCTGCCTCTCCTTCCTCTCCACCTCACCTCCCCCCACCTCCAGGTGGGATGGGGGCTACCCACCATGGTGGACGCAGAGAGGCGCCTTATGGCTGCTGCTCTTGCGGATCCAGCCAACCACCGCTTTGTGCTGCTCTCCGAATCGTACGTACGCCCTCTTGTTCTCGAACCATACATACACCCTTCTTTTTCCGGATCGCGCAACTGATTTCTGAGGCGCCTGTGATCTGAATCGGACGCCTCATGGCTGCGGCACTCGCAGAACCCGCGAACCACCACTTAGTGTTGCTCTCAGAATCTTACACTCTTGCTCCCAGCAATCGTGCATACCTTATGCGACCACACCTCATGCGACCACACACTCATGCGACCACACACTCATGCGACCACACACTCATGCGACCACACACTCATGCGACCACACACTCATGCGACCACACACTCATGCGACCACACACTCATGCGACCACACACTCATGCGACCACACACTCATGCGACCACACACTCATGCGACCACACACTCATGCGACCACACACTCATGCGACCACACACTCATGCGACCACACCTCATGCGACCACACACTCATGCGACCACACACTCATGCGACCACACACTCATGCGACCACACACTCATGCGACCACACACTCATGCGACCACACACTCATGCGACCACACACTCATGCGACCACACACTCATGCGACCACACACTCATGCGACCACACACTCATGCGACCACACACTCATGCGACCACACACTCATGCGACCACACACTCATGCGACCACACACTCATGCGACCACACACTCATGCGACCACACACTCATGCGACCACACACTCATGCGACCACACCTCATGCGACCACACACTCATGCGACCACACCTCATGCGACCACACACTCATGCGACCACACCTCATGCGACCACACACTCATGCGACCACACCTCATGCGACCACACCTCATGCGACCACACCTCGTGCGACCACACCTCATGCGACCACACCTCATGCGACCACACCTCATGCGACCACACCTCATGCGACCACACCTCGTGCGACCACACCTCATGCGACCACACCTCATGCGACCACACCTCATGCGACCACACACTCATGCGACCACACACTCATGCGACCACACACTCATGCGACCACACACTCATGCGACCACACACTCATGCGACCACACACTCATGCGACCACACACTCATGCGACCACACACTCATGCGACCACACACTCATGCGACCACACACTCATGCGACCACACACTCATGCGACCACACACTCATGCGACCACACACTCATGCGACCACACACTCATGCGACCACACACTCATGCGACCACACACTCATGCGACCACACACTCATGCGACCACACACTCATGCGACCACACACTCATGCGACCACACACTCATGCGACCACACACTCATGCGACCACACACTCATGCGACCACACACTCATGCGACCACACACTCATGCGACCACACACTCATGCGACCACACCTCATGCGACCACACACTCATGCGACCACACCTCATGCGACCACACCTCATGCGACCACACCTCATGCGACCACACCTCATGCGACCACACCTCATGCGACCACACCTCATGCGACCACACACTCATGCGACCACACACTCATGCGACCACACCTCATGCGACCACACCTCATGCGACCACACCTCATGCGACCACACACTCATGCGACCACACACTCATGCGACCACACACTCATGCGACCACACACTCATGCGACCACACACTCATGCGACCACACACTCATGCGACCACACACTCATGCGACCACACACTCATGCGACCACACACTCATGCGACCACACACTCATGCGACCACACACTCATGCGACCACACACTCATGCGACCACACACTCATGCGACCACACACTCATGCGACCACACACTCATGCGACCACACACTCATGCGACCACACACTCATGCGACCACACACTCATGCGACCACACACTCATGCGACCACACACTCATGCGACCACACCTCATGCGACCACACACTCATGCGACCACACACTCATGCGACCACACACTCATGCGACCACACACTCATGCGACCACACACTCATGCGACCACACACTCATGCGACCACACACTCATGCGACCACACCCTCATGCGACCACACACTCATGCGACCACACACTCATGCGACCACACACTCATGCGACCACACACTCATGCGACCACACACTCATGCGACCACACACTCATGCGACCACACACTCATGCGACCACACACTCATGCGACCACACCTCGTGCATCACCACACCTCGTGCATCACCACACCTCGTGCATCACCACACCTCGTGCATCACCACACCTCGTGCATCACCACACCTCGTGCATCACCTCACCTCGTGCATCACCACACCTCGTGCATCACCACACCTCGTGCATCACCTCACCTCGTGCATCACCACACCTCGTGCATCACCTCACCTCGTGCATCACCTCACCTCGTGCATCACCTCACCTCGTGCATCACCTCACCTCGTGCATCACCACACCTCGTGCATCACCTCACCTCGTGCATCACCACACCTCGTGCATCACCACACCTCGTGCATCACCTCACCTCGTGCATCACCACACCTCGTGCATCACCTCACCTCGTGCATCACCTCACCTCGTGCATCACCTCACCTCGTGCATCACCTCACCTCGTGCATCACCACACCTCGTGCATCACCTCACCTCGTGCATCACCTCACCTCGTGCATCACCACACACACACCTACATACCCGTCCTCTTCCCCCAATCTCAGGTGCATTCCCGTGAAGAGCTTCAACTACATCTGGGACTACCTGATGGGCACTCGCTACAGCTTCGTCTCCAGGTGATTCCAGGTGGATTCTCAGGTGTTTTTTCCGGTGTCCAGAACATTTCAGGTATCTGGGTGCATTTTGGGGGACTGGACGGATGGAATTATTGTTTCCAATTACAGGTGCCTGCCCAGATAGTAGGCTCAGCTCAGGTGCTGGTTGGAAGGCTCAGGTGCTGGTTGGAAGGCTCAGGTGCTCTTTAGAATGCTCAGGTGACTCCTTCGTTCTTCCCTCGCCTGCTTTTTCACCGTCTTCCCAGTGTGCTTGGGATACTGCATAATTCCTCCTCCTTTCTCTCCCTCCCTTCCCCCCCCCCCCTCCTCCTCCCCCTCGTCGCTCCCTTCCTCGCTGTCCTCCCGTCCCATCTTTCCTCCTTTCGCTTCTCCTCTCCTCTCGCCCCTCGCCCCTCGCCCCTCGCCCCTCTCCTTTCGCCCCTCGCCCTTCCTCTAGCCGTGCAGCTTCTTCATCGATCACTCGGTGTGCTCTGGCCAGTACGACAAGCACATGCGTTTTCAGACGTTTTAAATATCATCTCTCCACTCACCCCTCCTCGCCCCTCACCCCTCCTCGCCCCTCACCCCTCCTCGCCCCTCACCCCTCCTCGCGCCTTGCCCCTCCTCGCCCCTCAACCCACCTCGCCCCTCAACCCTCCTCGCCCCTCAACCCTCCTCGCCCCTCAACCCTCCTCGCCCCTCAACCCTCCTCGCCCCTCAACCCTCCTCGCCCCTCACTCCTCCTTGCCCCTCAACCCTCCTCGCCCCTCAACCCTCCTCGCCCCTCACCCCTCCTCGCGCCTTGCCCCTCCTATCGCTGTGCAGCTTCTTCATTGATCGCCCGGTGTGCTCTGGCCGGTACGACAAGCACATGCAGCCCAAGATCACACTCAGCCAGTGGCGGAAGGGGTCGCAGGTGAGAGGGGAGGGCAGGGGAAGCAAGGGCGGGTGGGGGAGTAATGCCTAGAGGCATGGGAACAGGCGTCAATGTGAAGAGAGGGGTGGGGTACGACTGTATTTGAGGCGCCTCAAAATGCACATGCAGCCCAGGATCACGCTCAGCCGGTGTGCTCTGGCCGGTACGACAAGCACATGCAGCCCAGGATCACGCTTAGCCGGTGGCGGAAGGGGTCGCAGGTGAGTGCAGATGAGGGGGGAGGGCACGCAAGCCGTAAGAGGAGCAATAGAGTAGTGACGGTCGGAGTCGGGAGAACAGGGGTCATGGGTCGGAGAGGGGAGGAGTTACCAGAAGCGCATGCAGTGCAAGCAAGATCACGCTCAGCCAGTGGCGGAAGATGTGTTTTTTTTAGAATTGCCTTGACTCATGTTCGAAGGGCTGCAGTGGTTGAATGAACGCTTAGCAAAGGAACAACAGTGAAAAAATTTAGTGAAAAAACGCAGATCTGAAAAACCCTTAGCTTTCGAAAAGCCTCCTTGCGTAAACTAGTTTCCGCGGATGGGTGAACCCAATCACGTCTTCATCAGTACAGCACAATTCGGAACTCCAGTGGCGGAAGATGTGTTTTTTGAGAATTCTCAAAAACCAAGACCGTACGCTCGACCATATCACCCTACCAGAAGCACATATGATACGAGCTGGTTTTTGAGAATTCTCAAAAACCACACGCTCGACCATATCACCCTACCAGAAGCACGTATGATACGAGCTGGTTTTTGAGAATTCTCAAAAACCAAAACCACACGCTCGACCATATCACCCTACCAGAAGCACGTGCAGTGCATGGTCTTGCTCAGCCAGAGGCGGACGGGGTCTCAGATGATGGGGGAGCAGGGGCAGTTAGATGAAAGTAGGAGTTATGAGTAGAGGTGAGGGAAAAGGGTGAAGGGTAGGGTAGGTGCGGGGTGGAGATACGACGAGTACATGCAGCGAAAGATTAACGCTTAGCCAGAGGCGGAGGGGGCCTCAGGTGAGGGGAAGGGCAGGTGATGGGATAAGGGAAGGCATGGAAGAAGGTTCAGAGGTAACGGAAAAGGGCGGAGGGAGGGCAGGTGAGAGGTGGTGGTACGACAAGAAAAGCACATGCAGCCAAGAATATTGCTTAATTAGTGGAAGGGGTTGCATGTGAGGGGCGTGTAGTGAGTCGATTTTTGAGTCGACTAAAAAATCGACTAATTAGTGGAAGGGGTTGTATGTGAGGGGCGGAGGGCAGGTGAGGGATCACGCGCAGAAGAGATGGCATTTATATTGCATATCCAGTGTAGTTATTGTCTGTAATGTCGTGTGTGTGTGTGGCATGTGTCACTTTACTTGCTGTGTTTTGATCATGGCATGCGTAACTCGTGTGGAACATGGCGTGGCATGGCATGACATGTTTTTTAACGTGCAAACGATGCGCGAGCATGGCGTGGCATGGCGCTTACATGGGGGCATGTCATGGCAAAAGCATGTGGGCATGGCATGGCACGTTTGTGAATGTGCACATGATGTGCAAGCATGGCGTGTCTTGTTACATGGATGTGGGCATGGCACATGCATGTGGGCATGGGACATGCATGTGGGCATGGCACATGCATGTGGGCATGGCACATGCATGTGGGCATGGCACATGCATGTGGGCATGGCACATGCATGTGGGCATGGGACATGCATATGGGTATGGCAGTGGTTTGCGGCCACGAGGCGGCATGTGAACATCATCATCGATGACGACAGCATTCATGCACTCTTCCAAAAGTACTGCCGGGTGAGTCCCTTCAACCCTGTTTTTGAAGCGTCTTAAACGTTTTGTCTTTCTCAAAGGCGGCATGTGAACATCATCATCGATGACGACAGCATTCACACACTCTTCCAAAAGTACTGCCGTGTGACTCAACAAAGTCCGTCGGCCTTACTCTCAAGTAGTCCAGTAGGGAAGGAGTCCCTTCACTCGTATAATTACAATTTGAGATGTCTCAAAAACGGCATGTCAACATAATCATCGATGACGACACCATTCACACACTATTCCAAAAGTACTGCCGGGTGAGTCCCTCAGCTTCTCTTCACCCCTGTCACCTTGCCTCTCTTGTCACCTTGCCTCTCTTGTCACCTTGCCTCTCTTGTCACCTTGCCTCTCTTGTCACCTTGCCTCTCTTGTCACCTTGCCTCTCTTGTCACCTTGCCTCTCTTGTCACCTTGCCTCTCTTGTCACCTTGCCTCTCTTGTCACCTTGCCTCTCTTGTCACCTTGCCTCTCTTGTCACCTTGCCTCTCTTGTCACCTTGCCTCTCTTGTCACCTTGCCTCTCTTGTCACCTTGCCTCTCTTGTCACCTTGCCTCTCTTGTCACCTTGCCTCTCTTGTCACCTTGCCTCTCTTGTCACCTTGCCTCTCTTGTCACCTTGCCTCTCTTGTCACCTTGCCTCTCTTGTCACCTTGCCTCTCTTGTCACCTCAACACAAGCTGTTCCTCAACTAAACACCATTTCTTTGGTCTACTCTCCCATGCCTGTCTGCCGTCTCTTTCGCTTGGGCCAATGGCAGGGCGACAAGTGGCATCACCACTGCTACGCGGATGAACACTACATTCCAACCCTTCTCAATGTGCGCTCCTTTCTTCACTCCTGCTCCTCGTCTTGCTGCTCTTGCCCCTCCCCACTTGCTCCGCTTGCTCCTCATAACCCCCTTGCTCTTCTTTCTCCTCTTGTTCCTCCTTTTCCCGATCTGAACACACTGTCATGTTCGTATGCCGTCCAAAAACCACTCTTCCTCCTCTCCCTCCTCTCCCTGCACGTTTCCTGTGTCTCTCTCCTCTCTCCCTCTCTCTTTCCCGGCAGATTCAGGTCCTGGACAGATGGCCAACAGCATATGGAACTAACTCTTGAGAATTCACAAAAGAGACTAATTGCCAACCGCATGATAACCTTTAGATTTTACGCACACATTACCTCGTCCGCTGTCTCTCTTCTTCTCCTCTCCCGCAACAGATAAAGGAGCCCAGTCGAGTGGCCAACCGCACCATCACCTATGTGGACTTTCCTCCCCTGCAGCAGCACCCCACCTCCTTCCTGCCTCCCAACGTCACTGAGGACCTCTTTCAGAACATCACAGTGAGTAGGGAGGGCTTGTGCAGGGCGTGTGTTGAGCATGTACTGGGCGTGTGTTGAGCGTGTACTGGGCGTGTGTTGAGCGTGTGCGGGGCGTGTGTTGAGCGTGTACTGGGCGTGTGTTGGTGCTTACGGGGAAGCAGCAGCACCCCACCTCCTTCCTGCCTCCCAACATCGCAGAGGACCTCTTTCAGAACATCACAGTGAGTTGAGAAGAGGGGAGGAGGGGAGAGGTTGGAAGAGTGGGGAAGGAATGTGCATGAGTGAGCGGAGGGATTTTCTACCCTGCAGCAGCACCCCACCTCCTTCCTCCCTCCCAACATCACAGAGGACCTCTTTCAGAACATCGCAGTGTGTTGAAAAGGCGTGTGTTGGGCATGTGCTGGCTATGTCTTGGTGTAACCGAGGAATCGGCAGCTCCCCACGTCCTTCCTCCCTCCCAGCATCACTGCGAGGTGATTTTTGAGTCGACCCATGTCCTTCGACTCAAAAGTCCTTCCTCCCTCCCAGCATCACTGCGGACCTCTTTCAGAACTTCACAGTGAGTAGGGGGGAGGTGGGGAAGGTGGGGAAGAGTGGGGAAGAGTGGGAATGTGCATGTTTGGAGGGCTTCCCTCCCCTGCAGCAGCACCCCACGTCCTTCCTCCCTCCCAGAATCACTGCGGACCTCTTTCAGAACTTCACAGTGATTGGAGGGGTACGAAGATGTTCTGCTTGCTCCCTTGCCACCCTGTCTCTGCTTGCTCCCATGCCATCCTGTCTCTGCTTGTTCTCACCATCCTGTCTCTGTCCGCACCCCTTTGTGCTTCCATGTGTGTTGTCTCTGTCCGCACCCCTTTGTGCTTCCATGTGTGTTGTCTCTGTCCGCACCCCTTTGTGCTTCCATGTGTGTTGTCTCTGTCCGCACCCCTTTGTGCTTCCATGTGTGTTGTCTCTGTCCGCACCCCTTTGTGCTTCCATGTGTGTTGTCTCTGTCCGCACCCCTTTGTGCTTCCATGTGTGTTGTCTCTGTCCGCACCCCTTTGTGCTTCCATGTGTGTTGTCTCTGTCCGCACCCCTTTGTGCTTCCATGTGTGTTGTCTCTGTCCGCACCCCTTTGTGCTTCCATGTGTGTTGTCTCTGTCCGCACCCCTTTGTGCTTCCATGTGTGTTGTCTCTGTCCGCACCCCTTTGTGCTTCCATGTGTGTTGTCTCTGTCCGCACCCCTTTGTGCTTCCATGTGTGTTTTCTCTGCCGTTTTCTCTGTCCTTATCCCTCCCGTGTCTCAGGAGCCCCTGGACTACAGTTGCAGCAACGTGGCTGTACAAGCTGCCGCTAAACTCATCTCAACCGCACTTCAACTCATCCATGCCCCCCGTGTGCGCCCTTGTGTGCTGTCTCTCTCTCCCATGTTTCAGGAGCCCCTTGACTACAGTCTCATCAATGTGGTTGTGAGTCGCCTGCTGCTCTTGACCTTCGGCTCTTATCCTCTTAGCCTCTTATCCTCTTAGCCTCTTAACCTTCGCCTCTTATCCTCTTAGCCTCGTATCCTCTACCGTCACTTCGTCACGATTCAGGAGCCCCTTGACTACAGTCTCGTGAATGTGGTTATGAGTCGCCTGCTGCTCTTGAATTTCGACTCTTGGTCTCTTACCCTCTCTTCTCTTCCCCTATTAGGCTCTTGACCTCGTAGCCTCTGCCCTTGTCTCTGTTTCTCTACAGTCCATCTGGCCTCCATGCATCACTGCTTCCAATCCAAGGCAGCCCAAACAATGTCCCTCACCATCGCTGCTGTGGAACCTATTCCACTTCACATTCTTTTCCCAACACCATATACTGGATGTTTCAAAAGTACAGTGTTTTGTTTTCGTTAAATCTATCAGATTCCATGTGTATTCCACACCTCTGCAGTTGAAATGCAATCAGCACAAATGGCCTGACAACAATGTGTCTCCTTCCTGTGCCCTGTGCTGCGCTCATGTACCCGTCTCTTCACCATTTTTCCCGCCGGACCATCTCTATCAGGAGCATCGAGAAAAGACTCCTCAGAGTGTAAGTGTTCATTGTGGGATGAAATGGGGGGGTGCGGGGGAAGGGGGAGGAGAGGAAAGGGAGAGGGGGAAGGTGGGAGAGGAGGGGAGGGGGTGGGTTGGGAGAGAGGTGGAGAGGGGAGAATGAGTGGATGGTGGAGTGTGGGAGGAATCAGGGGGGTTTGAAGAGGTAGAAAGAGGAATCCTAGGCAAAATGAGGAGCAGGGCAGGGGGATTGGATTGGTAGGGAGAGGAAGTGAGAGTCAAATGATTAGGAGTGTGTTGAGATTTATTTTGGTGGAGTGATTGAAAGGGCTGAGAGAGACTGGATTTCTGTCCTTGTTTGTTGTCTCGGCTGCAGGCGTACACGCTACCATGCTCTTTAAATGGAAAGAAGCGCACCTGCTTTTTGTTTGCGCGGAAATTTCCACCCAGTGCCCTCCCTGCCCTGCTGTCCCTCTCCGAGGACATTTTAGGGTATTGATTGCCTCGTAGAACCAAGCACCCGCGCAGTGAAATTTGCGCATTATTGCACGCTTCGAAGTTAGACTGTTTTGTAACAAATGTTTTTTTGTTCCACTGCCGCATTTAAATGCCAACACTGGTACCTGTCTTTCAGATCTTAATTCATTTTCATAAGCAAGGATGCATATCTTGCAAACAATGTGTTACGAGTGCAATTGAGTGAACAAACGAGAAATGCACTATCGAAGCAATAGTACGATGAGCGAAGGCATGAGCGAAGAATATGTAGCGAAACTACAGTGGTAACGGTAATTGACTGTGGTTGTCGCGCGACGAGCCTGGGACTGAGGTTGGGAAAAGTGTCGAAGCGGAGGCCCGGAGCGCGGGTTACCCACCGAGCCGTGAGGTCGGGGTGCGATGTGCGAAGGTGGCGGGCGGATTGTCGATTCGAGGGTTGCGAGTGGTAACGGTGCTGACTGTGGTGCTACAGTGATGTACGCGTTGAGCAGGGACGCGAAGTAAGGAAAAGGAATTTTCCTTACACTAACCCCCCCCCCTAAGGAGGTCCTCCTTACGAAAGTGCGTGTACATCCCTGAAATTTCGGCTGCGCAGATACTCGGTGAGGACGGGGTGGTTTTCGATTCTGTCCAGGGGAACCCAATTGTCTTCGGTGGGTGTACGGTCCTTCCAGCGGAGTAAGAACTCGATCCTTCAGGCTCCTCGATGGTCGCGAACTCTGTGACTCAGGATTTTCTTGGGGGTGATGATTGGTTCAGTTGGTGGTCTTGTCATGTTGGCAGGGCGATTGCGTGGCAGTTGGCTCGTGGACGAGACGTAATGGCGAAGTAGGCTGACGTGGAATTGAGGGGCTGACATACCAGTCATCAGGGAGGAGGAGGTGGGCGGTGACGCATGTAAGCATGTGGCTTATGCGAAATGGCCCGCAGTATCGGGGGCGGAGTTTCGGGGTGATGGGTAGTCGGAGGTTCTGAGTGTCAAGTAAAACTAAGCCGTCGGGCTGGTAAGTGACAGGTCTGCGGTGGCGGTCGGCGTTGCGTTTAGCGATGATGTTCGATTTTTTTATTGCGTCTACTGCCCGGGTCCGTGGTGCTTGTAATATTTCGGCGAACTGTTGTGCTCGTGGTACTGGGTTGTCGGGATTCGGGGTCATGGGTACTGTCGGGTCTTGTCTGTAGTTTAGGTAAAATGGTGACTATTGGGTCGTGGTGGATGGCGAGTTGTTGTACCCGAATTCGATTAGTGGGAGTTGCTGTTCCCACGTGGTCGGGTCGTCACACGTGGCCCTGATGAGCTGTTCCATGGTCTAATTTGTCCGTTCTGTCTGTCCGTCGGTTTCGGGGTGGTATGATGAACTGAACTGTAGTCGCGTGCTGAACTGCTGCCATAGGTTCCGCCAGAAGTTGCTAGTGAATTTCGTGTCACGGTCGCTGATGATCGCGGCTGGTATCCTGTGCAGTCGAACGACGGTGGAGATGAAGAGGCGTGCTGTTTCCTCGGCTGTGATTGATTTTTTGCAGGCTGCGAAATGTGCCATTTTCGTCAGTCGATCGACGACGACCAGGATCGCGTCGTTCCCACTCGCCTCGGCTGGTAACCCCGTGACGAAGTCCATCGTCACCTGCTGCCAAGCACGCTCTGGGGGTGGTATTGGCTGCAACTGTCCCGCCGGCCGCTGTCGTGATGATTTCATGAGCTGACAAGTGGGACACGATGCCACGTGTCGTTGTACGTCGGTCAATATTTCGGGCCAGTAATAATACCGCTGCAGCTGCTGCCGTGTTTTTTCTACTCCGAAATGCCCCGAGGTAACTCCGTCGTGTGCCTCCTGTAACAGTAATTCCCGTAGCAGTGTATATCCAGGCACCCAAATGCGGCCAGTCCCGGTTTTTACGTAATAGATTCCCTTTGCTGATGCGAACTCCTGCGAATTTCCTCGTGTGAAGAATGGATCCGTCTGGTACCCGTGGGTGAATAGGCCTGTTAGTAGCGGGCTTGTCTGGGTGAGTAGTATTGCGTGGATCTGGGCAGTGGGGTGGGTCAATGCGTCGGCGATGTTCTAGGCTCCTTTTTTGTAAGTGACCGTGTAGTGAAAGTTGGACTCGAGGAAATCGAGCCAGCGAATCTGTCGTGGGTTGAGGTGTGGCTGTGCGCGAAGGTACTGTAGTGATTTATGGTATGTCCGTACTGTCACGTCCGCGCCAGTCAAGTAACAACGCCATACTTTGAACGCGTGCACGATCGCAAGCATTTCGCGGTCGTGTATCGGGTAATTTTTCTCGGGCGGATGCAGTTTTCGTGACTCGTATGCGATAGGCTGTAGGCCATTGCCCAAATCCTGTAGTAGTACGGCTCCGATGGCGATATCGCTTGCGTCGGTAACTACTTCGAATGGGCGGTGTGGGTCGGCCATGCGCAGGACGGGCGGTGAACAGAGAACATTTTTCAGGGCAGAGAAGGCAGCATGCTCTTCCCCCCCCCACGTAAAAGTGACCCCCTTCCGTAGTAAATCCGTCAGTGGGGCAGTTAACCGTGCCATATCAGGGACGAACCGACGCACATAATTAACGAACCCTAAAAAGCTCTGCAACTCCGTGATGTTCGTCAGGGGATGCCACGCTTTTACCATATCCAGCTTCTTTGGGTCGATTTCAACTCCAGCCTCCGAAATAACGTGCCCCAAAAATTCTAACCTATCCTGGAAGAACGCGCACTTGGAACCCTTGGTCAGTAATCTGTGTTCGTCTAAAACCTTAAAGTCTGCTTCCAAATCTGCTAAGTGCTGCTGCTTATCCTGTCTGTACACTAGAATGTCGTTGAGATAAACTATTACGCATTTATCTAAGAGCGGCCTCAATGCCTCGTTCATGGTCATCTGAAAAGTCGCCGATGCGTTGGTCAGCCCGAATGGCATCACACTGTACTCGAACGACCCGTACCTAGTCATGAAATCTGTTTTGGCGCAGTCGGATGGTTCGACCCTAATCTGATGGTAACCTCCCCGTAAATCTATTTTTGAAAAAACTCGTGTTGTTCGCAGTTGGCGGATCAGTTCGCCGGCGCGGGGAATGGGGTACTGCGACTTGACTGTTACCTTGTTCAGTGCTCTGTAGTCGATACACATGCGAAAACCCCCATCTTTTTTCGGCGTGAATAGTATCGGTGCGGCAAACGGTGACGAGCTCGGTCTGATGATTTTTTTTTCTAACAGGTAATCTAACTGCTTCCTTAGTTCGTCGAGCTCGGGCTGTGTCAGTCTGAACTGGCGCTGTACGGTTGGCTGTGCCCCCAGTTCTAATTCGATTCGGTGGTCATGTGCTCGCTGAGGTGGCAGTCCTTCCGGTAATTCGTCGGGGAAAATCCCGGGGTATCGTTTCAACAGTTCCTGTAATTCGGGCGGTACGGCTGCCAGCAGTTTCTTGAAATCACTCGGCTGCTCTGCTTCCTCTACTACTGCGATGTCTGCTGCGTACACGTCGGCTCCAGTAGCGACAGCCCGTTTCATTGTGATGGCGTTGACGTGTACCGTTGAAGACTCGGGCGACTGCCAGCGAGGTAGCTCGACCCAGTTACCACTACTTCGCACGGTGCAGCTACCCGTCGTCCAGTCAATTCGCGGGTTATACCGTCGCAGCCAATCACGTCCCAGTAAAATATCGTGCCCATCCAGTGTGGTTGCGAGCATGTCTTGTGTAAACCCGAAATTTCCCCCGCAGCGGACTTTGACTCTCTCTACCTTTTCCCGTATGGCCAGTGGCGTGCCGTCGACTAAGCGTGCGTCTATCTCCGGTAAGCAACGGCTAAGCTTCAGCTACAGTTTTCATGCGGTTGCGGTATTAACTAAACTGTGGCTTGCTCCTCCGTCGATAAAAATCTTCACTGCTGCTCCCTGTATTTTCACGTGGATCAGTACTGGGCAATCCATCGTTGTACCCTTCTTATTCGTCCGAGTCCGATCGATAGCATGAATCGGTACTGTGACTCAGTGAGGGTCGGTGGGGTTGGGCGAGCAGGCAGTCTCGTCAGTAGTTGGCCCGATTCCTACTGACTGCTGGCGTTTCCCTGCTTTGGAGACTCCCTCCCCTGCTCTTCTCCGCGGCGCCTTAGCTCCTCTGGGCATTCGCTCTTGCGATGGCCCGGCCTGTTGCAAGCAAAGTAGCGCCCCTTAAACGGCGCGGCAGCTGCATTCGTCGCAACAGCGTGTACATTGGCGTGCTCGATCGGTCCGCGAGGACGATGTCCATAGTAGGACCCCGGTCTCGGACGGCGTAAAATGTCGATTTTCTCGGCGAGCGCGAGAATCTCGTTGAAGTTCGAGAGCCCGCGTAGCATGATTTCGTGCGAGATGTCCGGCTTCCGCCCTCCGACGTAACGGTCCAACCGCTCCGCTTCGTGCATGTAGCCGACTTGCTCGCATAATGCGAGAAAACCACTCGTATAGTCTTGAACCGATCCAAGCTGCCGCCAAGTGCGCAATCTCTGACGCGCCGAAATAGAAGCCGCGATCGGCTCGAAGCGCGCCCGAAGCCCTGCGCACCACGCATCCCACGTGTTTTATTGGGCGGTCTCGCAGAATGAACTCCAGGTGACAGCTGGGCCCGTGGGCCCTTCCTCTTGCGACGGTGGCTCGTAGGCGTGTGGCGACGTCACGATGACTCGCCACCAGTCCATGGCGGGGCCCCTTAGCAGCGAAACGGCATACCGAATCTTCGCTGCGTCCGACTCGACGTAATTCGCGTCGAAGAAGACGTTCATCGTGAAAACCCACGATTGAACCGTCGGACCTCCACGCTGGCTCGGGTCGAAGCAGGGCGGGCGTTGCGGCTTGAGTGGCATTGGTGCCATAATGGTCTGTTCGCCACTTGTCGCCGCGAACTCCACATGTCGACGGGCTTCGCGAGG